TTTCGACATTTGTGTGCCCCCAACTTTAAGCTATCCGCGTATACTACTGATTAAAAATATGACAAAAATTAGTTTTAAAGATTTTCAGCTGGTACCTTACATCAGAAATAATATTCTTCAACTACATATACAATTCTCATTGAAATTATAAGGTGTGGTATCTTTTTGTCGCATACGTATGTAGTTTAAGACAGATTAAATCAGAGAGGGGTAAGTTACTTTATCCTTTGTTAAAGGAAGTTTGTTCTTCATTTTACGCAAGAGGATTTATAGAATATAGTCATGTTTTTTATTATACGAGGTAATTTTCCCACCAATAGACTCCCAAGAAATTTTGCCAGCCAAACATTGCAGCAATAATCTCATGTATCTACATATATGTATTTACAATTGTGGCTCTATGAAAAGGTCAGGGTTTATTCTGTTTCTTTCTTAAAAATAGTGTCGTCTCTGTTGCAGTAATTGTTATCGTTGATTAATCGATGAAGCAATACCGATATCAACCACTTCCTCGAGCCATAAACATATACGGGATTATCGTCGTAATGTTTGGATAATTCTTTTGAAGTTTACTGGCGGAAGAATCACCCTATCGCTTAATCCCAACGTAATCGACGCAGTGCGAATGGCAGAGAACGTATTAAGAGCGTTTTAAATGTTGATTCGTTTTGATGGTTTGTTAAGAATGCAATTAACAGGTTTTCGCTGCTACATTGCTCGCGCAAACAACGTGCACGTTAACACCTTTGGACCCGAGAAATGCAATATTTCGAACAAAAATTCGACCTCCAGACTTCTGGCATACGCGCGTTAAATAACCTATCGAAATTTTATTATCGATCTGGATACGTTTGCGAAAATAAATTTTGCAAATAATTGAAAATTTTTTAAAATAATTGCAGTCTTACGAGGCTTAACGATTAAATTGATCGAAGTCTTGCGATTATTAATGTTGTAAAAGCTTTTGAACAGCATTTAAGGTTTCCCGATACACAGCTACCGCTATTTACCTTTCATTCAACGTTTCCGTCGGTTCTGGATTAATACCTTATCGTTGGCCTACATTCTATTGTGTTCCTTTAAATCTGAATGTTTCGTGCTTTCAAGAATTATGAATATTCTTTGCAGACGCTATACAATCAGTGACTAACCTGAGTCCTGAATCTGGAATTCTTCTTTTCATTGTCTGAACACAGTCTATAATATCTTTTTTACGATACATAAAACGAATGAATCGTTAAAGGGATTAAAATGTCAGAAGAAATTGAGGTATTTTAAAGAGCAAACTCGGTCAACCTTGAAGTTATATTACCGTTTTTCAGCATTTTCCTTATATATCTATTTATCTATTTATACTTTTGTACTTGAACATTGTTCTTAAAATTGAATCGTTGATATCTGAAATTTTTTAATCGTGTACTTTTTTCTGACTACATAGTTTTTACACAAAAAGTCACGTAAAGTTTGTTTACTTTTTGATCATAATAGTTGACTTGATGTAAATTTTTGGCAAAAGTAGATGGACCTTTTTCAGATACAAACATCACAAAATTATCAAAAGAAGAAAAACATACTACGAAAATTAAGGAAGGTCAATAACAGCAAATATCTCTCTTGGTATCTAACAAGGAATTTACCCAGATTACCAATTAGATTTAAAAGAAATAATTGTTGGCAGTTATGGTATAATGCTACTTAATAATTAAAGTGTTGCTTGCGCAGGAAATTTGATATTGGCTAGAAAAATGGTGTTATAAGTCACCATAAGCGATTCCAAAAATGGTATAAACGAAATTTTTATGTGCTTTTGTGGTTTGTCCATACATATACAGGGTGTTCGGCCACCCCTGGAAAAAATTTTAATGGGAGATTCTAGAGGCCAAAATAAGACGAAAATCAAGAATACTAATTTGTTGATGGAGGCTTCGTTAAAAAGTTATTAACGTTTAAAGTTCCACTCGTACTGAATTTTTTTCTAAAAAATGGTTAAGATTTCAGGGGTATGTGTGTTCAAAAATTATTGTAATTGACCCACGCAACCGAAAATAATTGTTCCAGAACAATTTGAAATTTTTTTTTTCGCCGAAAAATTTAGGCATTCAATTAGATTTTCGGTAAGGAATTTTTTTCTCGAAAGTGCGTAGTATTTCGAGGGTATGTGTAATGACCAAAAATGATTGTAATGAACCCCCACAAACGAAAATAATTTTTTTAAACGATTTGAAACATTTTTTTTCGCCTAAAAACTTTAGCACCGACCCGATTTTTTTTCTCGAAAGTGGTTCAGATTTTAGGGGTATGTGTATCCACCAAAAATTATTGTAATTGATCCCCGCAACCGAAAATAATTTTTCCAGAACAAATTGGAATTTTTCTTTTCACCGAAAAAGGGGACTACCCCCTGTCGATTTTTCTTAAACTTTGTTTTTCATTTTTAATAAATTTGTTTGACGCTGTATAGAAAAGTTGTCTAATACTTTTTTGTAGGTATCCATGAGCTCTACTTCAGAAAAAGCTTCATTGAAACATATTCACTATTGTAGGAGTTATTGCCGTTTGAAAATTGGACCAGTTTTTGGGGGTTTTTCTCACTTGACGGTGTCAAGGAACAACTTTTTCAATATTGTTAGAGTTTCTACTCATTCTCCACTAAAATACGCGTTGTTTGCATTTTGAAAAATTAAAATCCTCCAATCCGTTCAGGAGTTATGATATTTTAAAGATTCGCTTGAGAAGCATTTTTGGCCTCGCATTAGATTTTCGGTAAAGAATTTTTTTCTCGAAAGTGCGCAGGATTTTGGGGCATGTCTATTCATCAAAGATGCTTATAATTGACCCCTGTAAATAAATATAATTTTTTTAGAACTATTTGAAAATTTTTAATTTCGTCAAAAAATTTCAGTACCTACTTGAATTTTTTTCTCGAAAGTGGATAGAATTTCAAGGGTATATATATTAACCAAAAATAATTGTGATTAAGCCCCGCAACCAAAAATAATTTTTTCAGAACGATTTGAAATTTTTTAATAACTTTTTAATGAAGCCTCAGTCAAGAAATTGATATTCTTGATTTTCGTCTTATTTTGGCCTCTAGAATCTCCCATTAAAATTTTTCCCAGGGGTGGCCGAACACCCTGTACATATACAGTATGTAAATGTAAATAAAAACAAAAATTAACATCCACCATCGGAATCAAGATCCAAGTTTTTTGTTTATTTCAATTATTTTATTTGCATGTATTTAGAGAATCACAAAACGTAAAAAAGATGTAATTTATACTTATTTTTGGATCTGCTTATAACAGACTTTGATACCATTTTTCTAGTCAAGATTAAATTTCTCGAGCGAATGGCATTCATTTTAATTATTAGGAGGTAGGGTGTTATAAGCTCCAACGATTATTTTTATTAATCTAGTTGATCATCCAGCTAACTTCCCTCGTATGTGAAATTTAGTAACCTTATTTATTGTTCAATAGGTTTGTCCAAATGTTATTTAACAAATTGTTATCCAAAGCTTTTATTTTTACATACACAAATTTAAATACACGTTTCTTGATAAGATATTTGACAATATTAATATCAAATTAAATTTAAGAATAATAAATACAAAATATATTTTTACTTCAAAATTCAAAATAAATATTTCTTTAATCAGAAATTTTTCCGTATCATTTAAAGTATGTAATCGCAATAGTTTAGGTTCTGATATTAAATGATTCATTTTGTACAAATAGTATGACAGACGTGAATTTACTTGTCACGATACAAAAGCACACAATGTTGTCAGTGAATGAAAATTTAAAGTACAAACTTGTCAGATTGAGCTAGCTATACGCTTTAAAAATAAAAATAGTTTTGAAAAATAAAAATAATTACCTGTAATACCAAAGTTATAACGTACGTAAATATTATACAATTTGAAATAAAATTAAAAACGTCTTTATGCATCGGGATGTTATTTAATACGAATGATTTAAATTGTTCCTATGACAAGAACAAAGAAAACAAATTCCACTAAATCTTGTTTCACAAGTGCCAAAAACAGGAACAAAACATCAATTCATGGAGGTTTTATATTTGAGAAGTCATGTTTCAAATAATAATTTCAATAAAAATAATTTATTTACTAATTCAGAAACTCGATAAAAATATATATTGAGCTTTTGTTATGTTTAAAAATAACAACTTTTGATAACTGTTTGTTAAGAAATGTCTGGGAAAAACACGTCGAATAAACTTTGGAATTTTCATTAGTAAATTGTTCTCAAAACAACCATTAATATGTCATGTAAATTTTATCTTTTTATCGGTTTAATTCTTGGTATCAACGTAGTGGGAGAACGTACATATTTATTAAGACGCCTGCTTGCAAGCGCCATTAAATACAGATTTTACATTTAATACGCGAGCCAACATTTAAGGAAACGAATAGTTTACAACAGTTGTGAAAGTTAAATTCTTAGTTTTATCTGTAAGTAATTGTCCATCGTTTCAATCAGGTTAATTATATTTAAAATACAACAAATTTAAGTATACCTGTCAGAATTAACTATTTCAAAATACGTAAATTTTTACTTATTATTAGGTTTCGATTTCGTATCAAATATTAATAACTACGATTATTTTCGTGGTAAAAGGATGAAAATTTATGAATCCAACTGTTGCGGAAATAAATAAAATTTTACGAGTTCACAAATTTTGTAGCATGCTTTCAATTTGGATAAGAAAGAAACCTGCAGTTTCTTTGTGAAGAAAATATTTGGTTCGATAGATATAAATTATAAATTTGTTTAATGTCTTAAGATGTTCAAAATACCTTCAAATAGTAGTGCAACGTTATCCAATTTTGTATATGCAAATTATGCTGTTTCCCCACAGTCTGGGCCGCTGCGCAACGATTAATTTGCTTCAGCAATTTTTGATTGAAGAGTACTGACGTCTCACTGTCATTCACCGATGCAACGTGTAAATACCTTCTTTTATTTTTCATTTCACAGACCTTGCATCGGACTGACTCGATGGTATCGCTCTGCTACCGATCTCTCGCCAGCTATATCACAGATGATAACCTTGCTGGTCTCCAGAACTTCCTCGAAAGCAAGAGAGTGCAGGTCGACGATCGAGACGAGGTAACGATATCAAAATAACTTCTTTAAGTATTGCTTTTAAACCTCAGGCATGTGTCGTGGCTTTTGATAAAAACTTTATCTATACTTTCGTACACATAAATATTGTGTCAAAAATAGCACCAGTGTGAAAGGCAATAAAAACATTAATCTATTTTAATCTGCAACGATAAAGCTTGGCTAATATTTTTAATCCTCTAATCAGCGTCTGCGATGAATACGAGAATAAACATTTGAGTAGAAGAAACCACACAACGTTTAACCAAATGTTTAACAGATATTATACACAGTATGTCGGAAAAATAACGGAACTTTTTAAATTAAAAGATGAAAATTAGTTATTTTGCCAAAATTATTTTTTTTATTCAAAATACATCCCTTCTGCATCAATACACCGCTGGGCACGTTCGACTAGTGCCAGCATAGATTTTTTTATATCATTTTGCGGAATCGCCTCAATGACTCTTGTCACCGCGCCTTGGACTTGTGCAACACTGTCATAAAACGTTCCTTTCATGGCCAGTTTGAGTTTTGGGAATAGAAAATAATCAGATGGAGATAAGTCCGGTGAATACGGAAGATGTTGGAGCACACAGACCTGTTTTTCACCAAAAATTCACGAACAGCGACAGTCCTGTGCGATGGTACATTATCGTGCAACAAAAACCAACTTCCTGGCGCTCGATATTCAGGCCTCACTCGAACGATTTTTTTCCACAAACGCTCCATAACACCCAGATAATATTCACCATTGACATTTTGACCCTGTGGAACGAATTCCCCAAGTATAATACCTTTAGAATCATAAAAACAGATCAACATTGTCTTCTCTCGTGACTTCTGTAATCGCAATTTTTTCGATTTCGGAGAGTCTGGGGACTTCCCCGTTGCACTTTGGTGCTTTGTTTGTGGATCGTACTTGAAGCACCAAGTCTCGTCTCCAGTCACAATCGATTCCAGGAATGTGCAGTTCCGTCTGGCTGTTTTAATAAGATCCTTGCAATGTTCAACGCGAGCAATCTGTTGATCCTCATTTAATGCGTGAGGAACAAATCGAGCACAGATTTTCCGTTTGTTTAAGTCCTTTGTCAAAATTTCGTGAATCATGTCTTTAGTCGTATTTAATACGTCTGCCATCCATCTCACGCTTGAAGTCGCATCGTAAGTAATCATTTCACGCACTTTTTCCACCAACTCATCGCGATTTTTCTTTTTTGGCCGGCCTGGCTTTGGGTCATATTCTAAAGCATCACGACCGTCCTGGAATCGTTTATACCATTCGAACACACGTGTACTGGATAAACAATCATCACCATAAACTTTTTTCATCGATTCAAATGTTTCTGTAAAAGTTTTTCCGAGCTTGAAACAAAATTTAATATTTGCTCTTTGTTCCATTGTGTTTCTCCGACGAAGTGACAAAAGCTACTGCCACTTTAACCGTTATAACTTGACAATCCGTTAGTCGATTCCAATAATGATGTTTTGTAGAGGAAATACAGTAATCCCCCCTATAACACGGTAGATTGGTTCCGCGTTATAGGAAAACGCGTCGTGTCGCCACAGATATATGTATAATCAATGTTACCGTACATATAATCAATGTTTTTACAATTCAACACAAACTTAATAAAATAATTTATTTAATTTTATAAGAACACAATTGACATAATGTGCAAACGTACGCGAAATTGATTATGAACTGTACAAATCATTATAAATTTCACAGTACAGAAATATATAGTTAGTTTATTTATTTATTTAGTTAGTTTATATAGTTATTATTATATATATATATATAGTTATATGGGGGAAAACACGTGTTATACGAGGGCCATGAAATGGCGTAATATGAAAACGCGTTATAAGAGTACCGTGTTATAGGAGGGATTACTGTATACAGCTTTCAAGTTACATATTGTGTCAATAAATGGCATTAGCAGTTTTCATTAAATTTAAAAAGTTCCGTTATTTTTCCGACATACTGTGTATATTTGGCTATTTTTTAATTGGATCATATAAAGTTAAAAGCACTACTTGTTTGAAAAGAATGGGGAAAAAATGGCATTTATTCATAGAATGGGAATTTAGCAGATTGTTGTGCGCTTAGTTATGTTACAAATATGAGTTACTGTTCCAAAGAAATATATAAATTTTATTTTTTCTTAATTTTGTAAGGATTTATAGATTTTATTGGAAAGAATATATTCTTGTGGTATTATGGCAAAAATTTTGGAACGACGTTTGCAAGACGCGATAAGTGGTCATTATGGCCCTACAATTATTTAATAATACCATTATTAAAAATATTTTTAAAATGATAATGTAACTGCATTGTAATAGAAGTACTTTAAGAATGAAATTGTAAATTCATTCTAGAAAAATTACATTGAAAGTCATAATGAAACTTCATTTTTTATAAATATTGCAAATTTGAATCGACAACGTTCAATTATTTTCATGACATAATATAGATAATTTACAAAATATTAAAACTCAATTATTTAATAGCGCAATTATTACAAATATTTTTAAAATGATAATGTTACTGCATTGTAATAGAAGTATTTTAAGAATGAAAATGTAAATTCATTCCAAAAAAATTACATTGAAAGTCATAATGAAACTTCATTTTTTATAAATATTGCAAATTTGAATCGACAACGTTCGATTATTTTCATGACATAATCTAGATAATTTGCAAAATATTAAAATTCAATTATTTAATAGTGCAATTATTAAAAATATTTTTAAAATGATAATGTTACTGCATTGTAATAGAAGTATTTTAAGAATGAAAATGTAAATTCATTCCAAAAAAATTAGTTTGAAAGTCAAAATAAAACTTCATTTTTTATAAACATTGCAAGTTTGGCTCGACAACGTTCGATTATTTTCATGACATAACAGATAATTTACAAACAAAAAACAAATTTGGATATTCTCTTCGAAACTTTGAAACAACTGTGAACTATAGAACCAAAAATGAAAATAAAACTATTAATAAATGAATAGATTCTTAACATATTGCCAACCGATTGGGGAAATTTCCTTCATTCCACCACGTCTTATTGTAAGCTTTCAAAATACACAATGAGTTGTGTTTTCATTGTATCGAACTTAAAATCAAAGATAACATAATAGTCACTAACAAGGGAACATCCCGAGGTGTAAATCTCCAATCTTGATAAAACTTCGCAATTTTGTAGTTCTCATAAATCTATTAGACCCGTATTTTTTTGTAGCTGCTAATATTCATTTTAGGGGGTTGAAATCAGCCCTCAAAGTTGGGGGTTCAAAACATACTTTGTTGAATATCTCGGAAACTATGAGAGATGGGGGTGTGCTTTCAATTGACGAAATTAATGTTTTTAAACGGCGAATTTGATGGTGTAAAGAGATTTGCAAAACTTTTATTTGTTTAAACAATATGTTAAAAAATAGCACATTTTTTCATTTTTCTCGTTAGATATTAATGATTTTTTTTTTCCATTTGTACAGAGAAACTACACATCCATGTACAAAATACGGATAAATTGGAATTTTGATTTTTTCACAATAATGAAAGATTTTATATTTGTAATTTTTTTCGTATTTCGATTCGTTATACGAAGTACAAGATCGCATATAATACGACAAATGCTATGGTTTAATGACTTTTGTTTAATTATATTATATGTAGTATGCTTTGCTGGCTGATCCCAAAATGGTAAAAATTTCGGTCTAATGACAGGTATAACGTTTATCTGCGTACTAAAGGGCAGCGTATAAGCGTAAGTAAGGTTTCGGCTTAACGATTGCAGGACCTGTTTATGAGTGTGATACTTTTATTAAGGAGGCTTTACTGAACGAGGGTCGTTTTAAATATTAGTTGGTTGTATCTTATGTTCTGATTTTTGAACGTCAGGTAGCTCTGAAAAGAACTGTTTCATTTTCGACCTTTGCTGATTTCCAAGTGATCGTAATTGCTGTCCGAGGTAGAAAAATATGATCGATGCGATCTTTTACTGCCAATTGTTCCAACCCGGCCATGATGGTTCACATTCCTAAACTGTTAGGAAAGTCCTTCTACAGCTTTTAGACCTTCTGTTTTCGGAAAATGAACTTTATAAACGTTTCTGGTTGGTTACGATAATTAGGATAGGGATACAAGTGGCCAGTACTGCAATCATATTGAAACTATACAGGGAGTTCGGCTACTAATAGTAAAAATTTTAATGAGCGATAGTAGAGGCCAAAATAAGACGAAATACCAATTGCCCAACTGAGGCTTTATTAAAAAGTTATTAACAATTAAATTAAAAAATTTGAAATCATTCTGAAAACATTATTTTCGGTTGTGGAAGTCAATTACAATCATTTTTTGTAAATAAACATACCCCCGAAATCCTAACCATTTTCGAGAAAAAAATCGGGAAAGTGTGAAATTTTTCAACAAAATTAAAAAATTTCAAACCATTCTGAAAAAATTATTTTCGGTTGCAGGGGTCGATTGCAATCATTTTTGGTGAATACATATGCCTCTGAAATCGTACGCACTTTCGAGAAAAAAATTCCTAATCGTAAATGTAATTTATGCCCAGAAATGTTGCCCGAAAATTTCATGCGGATCTTTAAAATGTCATAACTTCTGAACGGATTGAAGGATTTTAATTTTCAAAAATGTAAACGACGCGTATTTTAATCAAGAATACGTAGAAATCGCAAAAATATTCAAAAAGTTGATCCTTGAACCCCCAAAATGAGAAAAACCTCATAAAAATGGTCCAATCTTCAAACGGCCATAATTCTTACAATAGTGGATATATTTCAATGAAACTTTTTTCTGAAGTAGAGCTCATAGGTACCTACAAAAAAGTATTGGACAACTTTTTTGTAGGGCGTCAAACAAAATTATTAAAAATGAAAAACGAGTTTTTAAGAAAAATCGACTAAATTTTTCGGCGGAACAAAAAATTTCAAATCGTTCTAAAAAAATTATTTTCAGTTCCGGGGGCAATTGCAATTATTTTTGCTCAATACATATACCCCCGAAATCCTACGTACTTTTGGGAAAAAAATTCGGGAATGTGTGAAATTTTTCAACAAAATTAAAAAATTTCAAACCATTCTGAAAAAATTATTTTCGGTTGCAGGGATCGATTACAATCATTTCTGGTCATTACACATACCCCCGAAATCTTACGCACTTTCGAGACAAAAATTCCTTACCGAAAACTTCAACCCCTTAAAGTGAATATTAGCAGTTACAAAGAAATACGGGTCTAATAGATTTATGAGAACTACAAAATTGCGACGTTTCATCAAATTAATATTTAAAACGACCCTCGTTCAGTAAAGACTCCTTAATAAAAGTATCACACTCATAAACAGGTCCTGCAATCGTTAAGCCGAAACCTTACTTACGCTTATACGCTGCCCTTTAGTACGCAGCGCAGATAAACGTTATACCTGTCATTAGACCGAAATTTTTACCATTTTGGGATCAGCCAGCAAAGCATACTACATATAATATAATTAAACAAAAGTCATTAAACCATAGCATTTGTCGTATTATATGCGATCTTGTACTTCGTATAACGAATCGAAATACGAAAAATATTACAAATATAAAATCTTTCATTATTGTGAAAAAATCAAAATTCCAATTTATCCGTATTTTGTACATGGATATGTAGTTTCTCTGTACAAATGGAAAAAAAAAAATCATTAATATCCAACGAGAAAAATGAAAAAATGTGCTATTTTTTAACATATTGTTTAAACAAATAAAAGTTTTGCAAATCTCTTTACACCATCAAATTCGCCGTTTAAAAACATTAATTTCGTCAATTGAAAGCACACCCCCATCTCTCATAGTTTCCGAGATATTCAACAAAGTATGTTTTGAACCCCCAACTTTGAGGGCTGATTTCAACCCCCTAAAGTGAATATTAGCAGCTACAAAAAAATACGGGTCTAATAGATTTATGAGAACTACAAAATTGCGAAGTTTTATCAAGATTGGAGATTTACACCTCGGGATGTTCCCTTGTAAGTAAGAGATCATTTTTTAAGGATATATGTACATATTTAAGATCATTCATGTTGATAGTCTTATGTGAATTCTTTTAGAATCTTACAAATCTTGATCAAATACAATTCGTAATATTCTTTACTTGCGTATGAGAAAAACAGTTATCTATAAGAAATTTAATTAGAGAAAAATATTTTTAGTAACATTGATAAAATTATACAAAAAATAATCGTGTTTAACAATTTTATATATCTATAGCCAATGAAATGTTAACAAATACATACATACTTTCATAACCATCGGGAGTTGGTTATAATTGTTTCATAGAGACACGATGAGTATTATTTGAAAATTGTATATTATTAACTCACGTATTACAGAAATTATACCATTTGCAGTTAAGTCTTTTTATTCAAGTTGGCAAAGTGTTAATATAGGTTTTTAGAAATATCTATATGTTGTTAGTCAAACTATAGATTTTAAGCTACTCTGAAAACTGGCTATGGGTTCAAGTCCTAACCCAGACCATCTAGAAAATTTCATAAATCCACAATGGATTTTATCAGTTTGTGAAGTATTTTAATTTTTTTTTTTAATTTGAAAATTATATTGGTTCATAATGGATAAACTCTGATAATTCTCTTCTACTGATTTCTATTGCCAACGTTTCGGCTCTAAATGGTCGATTTCATTCTTCTTACAATAGAATGGTAGCACAGCCCTCATCTTTGCAGCAACTAAGGGGAAGATACACTTTGTACGGGAGCTCATCAATCATGGAGCAGACGTTAACGCAGAAGATGGGGTTCGTATTACCGCAAATTCTGAGGTGTGGATTTATTTTTTTATTGGTACAATAAATTTCATTTTTAGGACAACTGGACGGCGTTGCTTTGCGCGGCCAAGGAAGGCCACACTGACGTCTGCCTCGAATTACTCGAGCATGGCGCCGAGTTGGAGCATCGAGATATGGTATGACAATTTTAAAGCATTCTTCGGCATCTTTCACTTCCATATTACATTTAATTATTTGCATTCTATAGACCTTCTTGCGAGTCTCTGTCGCTGATAACTTTCCTAGTATTGTAGGGAGAAAACAAGATCCATCCTGAACGGAACTGTGAGTCATATTGGATCAAATGTTTCAGTTACCCTTTGTAAGACTTACGATTAATGTGGGGAAAGTCGCAGGTGTCCCCCTAATTTTGTTATGAAATTTATATTAGATATTCGTGAAATGATCCTTAATAAAGTTACAAAACAGTTTTAAATTAAGAGATGTTAAAGTTTAACCGAGAAAGAAACTCTCTTTTGACTGAACTCGATTTTAAGTCCTGGTACCAAAAATTCTTGTTTTTTTCTTTTAATTAAAAAACAAATTTGTTTCGTCTCTTTTGCTACAATTTAAAAATAAATTTTAACGGCTCCGTTAAGATATATTTTTATTGTTTATAATAATTTTAATGAGAGGAAATAATTCAATTGTTTAAAGTTTATTTAATCATTTGTCGGTACAACTTGGGGTGACAATTAATATAAAAACAATTACAAGAACCCTTTATAAAAGCCAAGACTTTATATACATTAGGAACAATGGTCATTTGTTAACTTTGCAGTACATCAAGTATATTTAAAAAAAAACAATCAGTATAACTAACATGGACAACAAACTGTAAATAAAACTGGTAAATTCACCAAACTTTAACAGACGAGGCGTACGCCAATCTTAATTTTTAAAAAATTCCTATTACTCTTTGTAAAAAATATAAGATAAGAAAAAAAATTTGTTCACATTTAAAAAAAATTGTTAGGTTTAAGGCTGAACCTGATTCAGTCAAAAGAGAGTCTTTGCAGCTTAATACTTTATGTACTTTACCAAATCACAAACACAAATACTTTGCAACTTTATTAAGGATCACCTCACGAACATTTCAAAAACATTTCATCAAAAAATTAGGGGAACACAAAAATTACTCGTCTCTGTCTATACTCCTCTTACTCATGGTATAACTTAATCAAGGACTGATCTTATTTTTTTCCTACGCTACTAACCATATTGTTACAGAGCGTGTGAAAATGTTTTGACATTTTGACATTGCAATTAGTTTCTTCAGGAGACAAATAATACACTGATATTGTATCATATAATTTTATCTCCGAAAAAACTAGCTGTAATATTGCTAGGAAGCTTCAACCAGCATCTTCAGTATTAGAATTTGAGCTGCTAAAGCCTCAAATATCTTGACCAGCCATGTTGATTTTGATCATATTATAATAAATATAATTATTTTGTTTATTCTATGTGATCAATTCGATCAATTGGAAAAAAAATGGTATACATTTAATTGGTTCTAGAGAACAATTCATGTTCTTTATTGTACCTAATACTTCAAAACGATATTTAGAAACACATTTCTCTCTTGTCACTAAATTAATTTATCATTACCTAAAAATTTGTTCAGCGTTGATTACAATATTTCTAAGTCATCAAAAATGTTGATTTTTAAAAAGTTGTTTCAACTTCAAAATATTTACTATTATAAATTTTGTAGATACTCATAACAGTCTGAATAGTATATTCATGTTTATCAAATTAGAAAAGCAGAGCATACCTAACATAAATTTTCCTTGTCTGGAATGAGCAATTTTTAATACAAATTGAAATTGTAATATCTATTACTAATCTGACATCTACAATTAATATAGAAAACTGAATACAAACCATTGATGGGTCTTGTGGTTTGATCCGATAGAACTATGCTTCTATAGTATATGTTTACACTGAAAAGTTTGCATGGATAAACACACAAAGACTTATAAAATTACCTGGCGCAATCGTAATTGCTACTGTCTACTTATAATTACAATTATATTTGCTGCCAACTACAGTTACAATTACATTTGTAGTTACCACAAGTAATTAATTCTTACAACTAAAATGATTACCAGCTGCAATAAGCAATTCATGATTTCAATTGTTGATTATCATTTTAATTACATATTGTCGGGTATTAGTACATACAGAGTGTTATAAAACGATGGGATAAGCCAAAATATACCAGTACCCTGTGCAAAAAGAAATTGAAAAGTCCTTTGCCATTTTACAATCAGAGAATAGAAACTTCAACTACTTCTATCTCCAACACGAATCCTCGGATTTCTTTTTGTATAAGATAATGTTTTTGTTTATTTGATAATTTTGAAATACTCTGTATACTATGTATGAGTTATGTTCCCAATTAAATAAATGTTTTAAAGGTCGCAAGTTTTGTTAATTGTAATTACTTAATCACTTTTACGATTGCAATTACCATTATACAATTATATTTGATAATTATAAATGAACTTGTAGATAGTAGTAATTAAAGATTACACAAAATAATTAGTAATTTAATTAATAATTACATTTGTAATCGTAATTATTAATTAGATTACATTTTATTCAACTCTGTTTCTTAATCTTTATCACTTAGGTTTCCCCTCACTTCTTAACATCTCTAGATGTCCCGTTATTATTATTAATCTGACCGTATACTACATACTATTGTATTGTTTTATTTGAAATTTTTTCATTTTCATTATATTTTTATCTTTTTAATCCGTTCCCAAAGTTCTTACGTTTTTCCTATTTGCCTGTTATAACTGTTAAATATTATGTTTAAGTATAGTCGAACTCTATTATAACAACCACGGATATAGCGAAGTCACGGCTGTACAGAACAAAAAGTCGTAATGTATGTGTTTTTAAATTGCGGAGAAATAAATTATGTTTAATATTACTAAATGTATCGTAATTTATACAAACATATTAATTTAGTTATGTAATTAAATTATTTTCCTTTCTCTAATATTTCTTTTGTTTTTTAAACGCATCTTTTTATCAAATTATTAAGAATTTCTTTAAATTGGAGACATTTAACTCATCATTAGTATAACGAGTACTAATTATAACAAACTAACTTTGTTGGTATCTCTGTACTTGTAAATAACCAAAGTCGATTGTACGTCACATTATATTCAACTATTTATTTTTTAAATTAAAAAATGTCATGCTTATAAAGTTGCTTATGATTTAACTCTTAGGGCATGTTGGAATTAAAAGTGTCCCACCTTTTTGATGCACCGTAATGCATGGTGGGACACTTTTAATCCCACCTCGAAATATTGCAATAACTGCATGCACATAGGTTTACATTTCACCTTATTTACGTAAAGCAGTTGGTAATATCTTCAACAAATGTTACAAATGTATTCACTTGTGTTGGCAACATTCAACGTGCCAATACAGGTTCATCAATTGTTGCAAGTGCAAGGTTTATTGCGACAACTATTACTATTCTTTTTTATGTTTTTACATATATATAATACCTTTCTTAATAAAAATATACCAATTTTGTTTAATTTAAAAAGCAATAAAATTTCTATGCAACATGGGTCTATTTTATTATCTGAAATTCTGTGTCGCAGAGTTAAAAGGAACATCACAAATAGAAGTTAAGAGGAATGTTCTATTTTCAGGGAGGGTGGACAGCACTCATGTGGGCGACGTACAAGGGTAGGTCGCCGACGGTGACGATGCTACTAGCAAGAGGAGCTGATGTCAATGCACATGGAAATTTTCATATATCTTCATTGTTATGGGCCGCGGGTAGAGGTTACCCTGACATTGTTAAAGATATCATTGCTCATGGTGCTAAAGTTAATGTTGGTGATAAGGTAATCTAATTTTATTCAAGTTCAACAAATAGAATATTCATAAAAGACTAATTAAACATATATTTGATGTCGAGCTACAGTGACTGTCACTTAAAATCGTATACCTAGTGGTTCAGCCGATATTTTTTCAATAAAACATGAAAATTGTATTAAACTGTTGAAACTCGTATAGAGGTATATAGTGTAATGTTTCTTTATTTGATACATAACAACAATACAAAAGAACCTTTAGTAGTACTCAGTAAATTAAATCAAATTTGAGGTTGCATATGAAACTTAGCTGTCAGTAAAAGTCGTACACTGTTGGTAACATTGGAAATCCGGTAAATCCCCAATTGGTTTTTGTGTAACAATTCTTAGCAATGATTGAATCTATCTGACTGAGCAGCATTCTGATTGTTATAAGCGTTGTTTTACCAAAAGATCAATAAAAAAGACTTAAAATGCGACAAACTACAGTAGCGGAGCGTGAATTAGTTATTTATCACTATAAAAACAAAAAAAGTTATAATAAAAATTATTTGGAACGAATTGGATAAAAAAGTAAGATTACATAATATTACAAACAAGAAAAGTCTTAGAAAAGCTTTGCAAGAAGAATGGTCGAAAATAACACCTGAATTTTCTTAAAATTTAGTCAAATCAATTCCTCGACGACTGCAGCGTGTTCAAAATGCATTTGGTTACTCAACTAAATATTAATATAAACAATTTTTATTATATATTATTCTGAAACTGTATCTTATTTCCTCTACGATTTTTACTCACAACTAAGTTTCATACGCAGCCTCAAATTTTATTTAATTTACTGAGTACTACTAAAGGTTTTTTTATATTGTTGTTATGTATCAAATAAAGAAACATTACACTATATACCTCTATACAAGTTTCTGTAATTTAGTACAATTTTCATGTTTTATTGAAAAAATATCGGTTGAACCGCTAGGTGTATGATTTTAAGTGACAGTCACTGTATATATTTTTAAATAAGTCGTATGCTTAATCAAAGAATCATTAAAGAAATTGAATAACACTTTATAAAGAAATGCTTTACTTTATTTGTACATTGTTTGTTATTTCTCTCGAGAAAATGTTTATTATATTAAACCTCAATGGACATCGTTTTTCAACTTCTAGTATGGTACCACAGCGTTGGTGTGGGCGTCACGTAAAGGGAATGTAGAAATTGTAGATACTTTATTAAAAGCTGGTGCTAATGTTGATACTGCTGGCATGGTAAGATCAAAGTTTGTCTACTACATATTTCTATTATCAAATTAAAGTAATATCAATAATTGTAGAGAGTAAATACCAAAGAACCTAAGAGCCGAGTAATGATTTTCTAATTCTAAAACAAAAACATTTTTATTACTGTTATAAAGTAACAAAAAAACGTTTAACGTGTTATTGTATTACGCATTATTGTATTATGCATTGCTAGTTGATACATAAATTTTCAGAAATAAAACTGTATCGTTCTTATGAGAAAGTGTTTATCGAAAAAAATAGAAAGATGTTAAGTGCTACTTTCTATAATTTAAAGTGTTTCTGTTGACTCTTCTTTTTCTGATGAAACTGTAGATGTTGGATTTACGATCCTCCTATAATGAATTTTATGATCTTTCTCCAAAAGCGACATAATTGACATTAACGACATCCTTATATATACTATATATATGTATATTGTATATGGATCCTTTCCGGATTACAAATTTTCTGTTAACTTTTCGTTTTCATTTATTTCTTTTTTTGGTTAGAAAACAAAAGCATAATGCTATGACCCGTATACGGGTCATGGACAGTGAACGTGTTAATAAATTTCCAATCTGATATCACTATATGTTTCCTCTACCGTAACGTTAATACTCTTATTTTAAAAATTACTCCTTTTGTTCTATGTATTTAGTTGGAATGTGTCTAGTTATTCTTCTGCAATGCTCGTTAAGTCCCACCATCCCCAATATTTTTATATCTGCTACTTCAAATGGGGAATTGTGTCTAGCCAAAATGACAGCTTTATGCATTTCCTTTAGTACAATGGCTTCTATATTCTCTTTTTCTTATTCTACCAGATATTTCCAGTTATTGTAAACTTGTACTCTACTGTATCAAATACCCTATCAATCATTAATGAACTAAACACAAACAAAATGACTTTATTTTTATTCTGTCCGATTATTTGGTTGTACAGTTTAATTTATTCAAAACTTGCTCAGGCACTTAACCTCTTTCTAAAGAAAATATGCTTGGAGATAATTACTGCTCTAGCTACAAGCATGCACAAGGGAACTGCTAACGCACTGCTTTTCCCTAGAAATATTGGCAATTACACATAAGACCTAATTATGGAAAAATCTTAATCTCTTGAATCTAAGCTCTTAGCTTCTTTGATACTTTCAATTTAAATTCTCTTTCTTATTTAATTTAATCTCAATAATTCATTTTTATTGTCGCATGCCATGAATTATATAAATGGTAGAAGTAACAATATGAATGAGTATTAATAGATTATTAACTAAATATTTTACAGTATTCATGGACTGCTCTTCTTGTGGCTACCCTTGGTAATCATGTGGACGTCGTATTGCTCCTTTTGGAGCACAAACCAAACGTAAATGCTCTAGATAAGGATGGCTGCACAGCTCTAGCAATAGCCTGTCGAGAAGGGCATCACGAGATAGCGAATGCACTTTTAAACGCTGGTGCTTATGTAAACATTCAGGACAGAGCCGGAGATACAAACTTAATTCATGCTGTGAAAGGCGGTCATAGAGGAGTGGTTGAATCTCTTTTAAAGAAGTATGCCGACGTCGACATCGCCGGAAAGGTGACAAAATTGATACTAAATTATCATCCCAGACAGAAGACAGGATATCAGTTAATATCTTGACAATGGTTCCGACTAGAACCTAAAAGTCTCTTTTGTATATCGAACCTACTTGTTTCCCATTCATTTCAAGCTTGGACTATGATTATATTTCTTTAAAGAAGTTGAAGAACTAGCTAACCAGGCACATTTTATTGAAATATTCTAGGATAAGAAAACCGCAACTTACATAGCAGTAGAAAAAGGCAATATATCGATATTAAAATTGTTACTAAACGCTAACCCAGACTTGGAGATCGCAACGAAAGACGGTGACACGCCGCTACTGCGGGCAGTTAGGTCGCGCAACGCCGAAATCGTGCAATTACTGCTAGACAAGAAAGCCAAGGTCTCAGCCACCGACAAAAAGGGCGACACGGTGCTTCATGTAGCTATGCGGGCAAGATCGAAAGCTATCGTCGAGATATTATTGAGAAATCCGAAGAATAGTCAGCTACTTTACCGTCCAAATAGGCAAGGCGAAACCCCCTACAACATTGACATTAATCATCCAAAAACCATTCTTGGACAAATATTTGGCGCGAGTAAGTTGTTCGTGCATTACTTACAAAAAATTTAATAAGCCAGCAAACAAGTTTATTATGAAATTCAATTTTTTTAAATGTCAATTACTTGTGTGAACATTAAAAAACAAGCTATTCGTTGATTATTCAAGCACTATCAAAGAACAGGTGCAAATCCATTATTCTATCAAGTTTACTACAACGATGACTACATTAAACGTATTTACTGTTTTTCTTTGATAACTCATTTATGTTAAGAATAACCAGCGAAGAGTTCATTTTGGTACAAAATTATTTATCAAAAATATTTACAAGAATTATTTAACAAAAATAATTGGATTGTAGCATATAGGGGTCAAATGAAACAATAAACATTTATAAATGAATGCTATTTAGTAAATTTTGCTTTTTCCAGGACGCCTTAACACCAATGAAGATAATGAAAATATGCTTGGCTATGATTTATACAGTAGTGCTTTGGCAGATATTCTCAGTGAACCATCTCTTTCGACGCCTATAACTGTTGGCCTTTACGCAAAATGGGGTTCTGGAAAATCTTTCTTATTAAATAAATTGAGAGGTAATGATTCTATAGCATTTTGTTTGTTAAAACATATAACTGAATTACAAGATATTCAAAGTACCTGATACACTTATTTCTTTCAGAGGAAATGAAGAATTTTGCTCGTCAATGGATAGATCCTGTATTCCAATTCTCTTTCTTACTTTTTGTAGTAGTGTCTCATGTGTCTTTATTAGTGGGTATCACCATAGGTCTTGCTCTACAGTCGTGGATCATTGGTCTTGCTTGTGGTATAAGTCTTATTTTCATTACATACGCTTTTTTGATACTTATCTGGCATGCTAACAAAAGGTAAGGAAACCAACTAGATGGTACACAGATTCCAAATCTATTTCTATTTTATAATCCTTTACAATTTACATTGTAGATACGATTGGTACTGGCCATATAACTTCACCGTTGCTCTGACTACAAAGTTAAATTCATTGAAGCTGTTGTTGCAAGTGATTTTCTGTCATCCTCCCGGTGGCCAAGTTCACGATGGTGTGACAGTCCAGCCAATCAAATTTTATTTCACCGACCAGACTCGGGTCGGCACAACTGCCGCTGGAGAAAACGCAGTAGTACAAATGGTGGGATCGCTTTATGATTCCATTGAAAATGATTTTGGTTCTTTGTCCACGAGATTATATAGAGCGTTCAGACCAAAGCCTGATAAATCAACTACGACTTGGAAGTGGAGACACCTTTGTTGTCTACCATACATAGTCATATTCGAATTCTGTTTTTGCAGTTTACTTGTTGGCATTTCTGTGCTCACCGTCTACCTTATCGACATTACTAGCAGCGAGTGAGTACACAATAAGGATTGACTTAGCAACAATTTTTTATGCAAAGAAGACACTAAATAGGATAATAAAGCGATCGATAAATTTTAAAATGAGGTTTCTATTACTTACTGATTACCACAGGCCAACGATAGAGAAAGTTACGGCACACATAATTATGATAACTGTTGCCTTAATATTAGCAGTCAGTGTAATAGCAAACTTATATACATGGAGTCGAACTTTGCAAGCGCTTGTTTTCTCTCAAAGACGGCATCTTCAACGCAGCATTTCCAAGTTGGAGACTTTGAAAAGCGAAGGTTTTATACAAACACTGAGAAGCGAAGTCAGTTTAATGACGGAAATGGTACATAAACTGTTATTCAGACTAAATATTTTATTAAGATGTTCTTTCTATTTAATAACAAAATTTTTATATAAAAACAGGTCAAATGTCTAGATAGTTTCATGGCTCAACAAAGTAGATTAGTAGTAATTGTGGATGGTCTGGACAGTTGCGAACAAGATAAAGTGTTATTAGTTTTAGATGCTATACAAGCATTATTTAGTGATAATGGTTATCCATTTGTTGTAATATTAGCGATTGATCCACATATTATTGCCAAGGTATTATAGCATATCCTTTACTTTTTTCAAAATAATGGGTTGAATGGAAAAGTTTTCACTTCACATAAGACAATATAGGTGTAGATCGTTATCAGACAATTTTATATATTTTTTAAAGCAATTATGCTGTAAAGAATATTAAAAGAAAAGTTAATGAATAAGATACAGATTTATATTATATTATAACGTTATTATATTTGAGTTTCAAAGATCCTCTATAGTCACAGAAACTATAGAAAACATTCGTAAAGTATTTAACACTAGATTTATCAGCTATTTAAGTATTCCTATTTTTACCAAAACCAGTTAGAATGACTGGTCTTTAGAAAAAGTGCTTAGTGGGATTTTCAGTCTTTACTTACTTTTAAAAAATGACAAAAAAAGATTAATAATATTAATTGTAATACATAAATAGATTTATTGACATTATCAATTAATCAAACGCTTAATTGTTTATAGTTCATCGGTCACAATTTTTACATATACTGATTTTGCTCTATGCGTACTTTCCGCATACATTTTTTTTGCATATATTGCAAATAGTTGTGGTCTTATTGTTATTGCAATATCCTATTTGACACCATTTACGTACAGAAGCGGTGCCACTTGAACTTGGTATATTAGCTTCTTGTGGTTTTTCCCTTGAGGTTTCATATTCAGACTTTGGGCTTGACTAGAACTCTTTAATTATCATTTATTTAGATCACTGCAAAATCATTTGATTAGTAGAATTCAGAACTCTCGAAGAAGTCAATACTTTAATTAAAAAACAAAAAGCGTTTATAAATTTATGAATCTGGCAAAGAAAACTATATAATTAATTACATAAATATTTATTCTTAAAAACATGTAGATATATTTTACAATAAATAAAATGCAAGAACTTTCCGTTCAGCCTCCTAATGTATTAATAGACCAAAGTTAACATATTTACTATGATATTTCACTCAACAGGCAGTGGAAGTCAATAGTAGAAGATTATTCACAGAATCCAATATTGGAGGGCACGATTACTTGCGCAATATGGTACATCTTCCATTTTATTTGCAAAATAGTGGTTTACGAAAGGTGAAGGTTGCTCAACAAACTGCCCAACATAGCAAAAAAACCGCGTGGACTGAAGCTGAAGAGAGTGTTAATTACACCGCATCCAGTACAATGCATCATTCGGTTTCTAATAGAAGACTCAGTACAGAGTCTGGTATAATGAACAGTAACGAAAAGTTGAAGCCACAAAGTAGAAAAGGCAGTAGAAAATTACGATTAAGCGAATCGATAGCCAGTAGTATTGGTAGCAATTTAAATCGACTGGGTGGAGCACAGGATCTTAATAAAATGCTTCTCACTGACGACTACTTCAGCGACGTAAACCCTCGTAGCATGAGGAGATTAATGAACGTCGTTTATGTCACTGGTAATACAAAAATTATTAGCTTCTAGAATACTTATTTCATAATTTATTATATTTTCATTTAATATATCATTTGTTTATTTTAGGGAGATTGTTAAAAGCATTCCAAATTGATTTTAATTGGTATCACTTAGCCAGTTGGATCAATATCACCGAACAATGGCCATTTAGAACATCTTGGTTGATTCTGCATTATGATATGTATGAAGAGAGTTTAGATGATTCCATGTCGTTGAAGAGTCTTTATGATAAGTACGTTCCATTTATAATTATCCTGTGTGTTATGTTTAGCATTTTATTGAATATAATTATTTGATAATGTACGACTTTCTAATAGACTGATTATAATATATTAATAGAAATCGCGATAAAGATGATAAAATGAAAGTAATTTATTTCCTTTGACTATTGAAATTGATCCAATATTCGATAAAAAAAAGTAAAAAACTTGTTTACGATCTAATAAGTTATGTTTTTTTTTTTAAATTATTAGAATACGTCCCCAAATACCAGTACTTAAAGAAGTTCAGCCTCTTTTAGAAATGGATAGAGATGAACGCAAGCTGGACATTTTCCTGACTTTCCATCGTGCCAGCTTACTTGTTAGCGATATGAAGATATTCTTGCCATTCACGATTAATCTTGATCCTTATATTAAGAAAAAGATCAAGGAAGAGCAACAAAGCATAGAAGAAGAATCAGGACTTGGGCCATATAAACAGTACAATCCTTGGACTATGCATGGTGGTACTCAGGAGCAATGGAACGCGAATAGAACTGGTTTAATCAATCGTAACATGAAATTAACCAGAACACCAAGTCTACAAGGATCTGCTCCAGTACCATCTACTTCGTCTTGGTACATGCAACCTTCATTCGATTGGCAGACTCCGCCTTGGGTACAAATGCCTCCTATGGAACCTGTACTTAAACCGCTTTCTGCAACTACAACTTTACCGGTACAACATGCATATAACGTTTATAAAATTGTATATAATTTTTTAGCATCTGACAAAAACTATATTGCCTTTCTCCTTTTTAGTCCGAAATTTTGGAAATAAAACTTTCGTCTCTAACAGTAAACGGCGTTTGTGACCTCATTGATAGAATTGAAAGTTTGAATCACAATCTAGCACCGCAGTACAAAAATGTTATTAAGGAAAATAACATTAATGGCAGGGTTTTGTTACACTGTGAGACACAAGAGCTGAAAAAAGTAAGTTTTTCTTTTCCCGTATTGGTTTTTCACGTCAATTTTTAAAGATTTGATAATACTCTTTCTACACTAAGTTTAGTATAAAACATTTAAATCTAATTCTCAACACACAATTGCGAATGTTGTTCTTTCTACTTATAGGTACTTAAAATGGCTTTTGGAGATTGGGAACTGTTCCGTATGGTGATTGTTTCACTTAGGGAATTAGAATTGTCATCGTTTAGCATGCATGAAGAAGGTCCACGCTGCGTACGCTTCACTGTAGGATCGGAACAAATTCAAAGAAAAGGTACATAACAATTTTTCATAAAAATAAAATTATAATTATTAAGCATACAGTACAGGATGCTCGTTATAAATGGAAAAGCGAGAATATTTCGTAAATAGTTAAAAATAGGAAAAGAATTTTTCAAGGTCGACTTAATTTTTTAAAATGAAATATATTATTATATTTATGATGTAATAGAATTCGTTAAGAGTAATTCAATAAAATCATTCGGTGTCGTGCAACAGTGTAAATTAGCGAGTACATGTATATTGGCTTAAAGCTTTTACATTACTTTTCAAAATATTTGTTAAACAATCCGTTTTCACGACTGAAAATTACCTGTTAATAGATACTTTAGAAGATTTGATGTTTATAACACCCTCCTCCAAAATAAACAATTTTTGTGTAAACAGTTTCGTTGTATATTCAAATGTTTAAGAAGTATTTTTATTTGTTAATATAAAATCAACATATAGTATATGAAAATCATGTGTTACTTCTCTGTTTTAGACCATACTTTACCAAATAATTCGATACGTGTGCCTGTACACGTTGAAAAAGAAAAAGGAACATCAAGGACCGATGGTCCTCCTAGACGAGAACAAACTAAGCAATCTATTATGGAAAAACAAGTAAGCCTTTTTAAAGCATATTATTAGAATGCATATACACTTTTATTCTACCTCTTGATAGATTAATAAAATATGATTCTCATTACAATCGCGTGCTCGGTTTTAGTTTCAGGTAAGCAAAATTATGTTTGACGGCTTCATAATGCAAATAAATAATAATAATTACCAATAAACGAAATCCAGAAAGTTAGTACCAAGTTATCGAATCTATCAAGAAACAAATAACGGATTCATTTTTCAGGTGACCTTGGAAGAACAAATGATTTGTGGAGCACTGCAGACTTTAAATGAAGAAGCTTGCGAAGATGTATTAGACGTACCATCACCGGCAGTGGTACCATCAGACTCACTTCCAGGTGAGCCCTCTTCACTACCGCTTACACTGCCTCTGGTTATAGTTCAAGAACCACCGCAGCCAGACCAAAATTGCGACACCGTATTTGAGTACAATACAAATCTTTAATGATTTGAATCAAAGAAGACCATAGTTCGATCGTCTATCATGTGTGTACTGCATCGATACGACTGCATCATCCTATTCGAAGATGGTTCTATATACTCATCACTCGTAGTTTCAATTCTTTAGGAAAATTTTGTTAACGTATCTTTTATTTAAATGTTTCTTAATATGTCAATATATAGACACATCCATAGCAGTATTACCTATGATAGGTGCACCCATATTAGGGGAAATTAATAAAAAATTTAGTTTTTATATACACACATATACATATGTGGAAGAGGCTGAAGGAAACATCGCTACTTCCTTCTGAGACCTACCTCCACACCGACTGTTTGAAAATGTGCCAATGCGTCATGCGAGACTGGACCGTTGTAAATAGACGAAGGATATAAAATGAATGTCATCTGTTAAATAAAATATACACATAATGCGTGAAATAAGTAACGTTATGGCGGTAGTGACTTGAATGTATGCGTTTTACCATAGATATAATAAAAGCATCGTCTTCGTGCAATAGTTTAGTACAATAATGGTATAGCTTGCGAGAAAGAAAAAGCTGCGAAAACGTTTTGTATTTCTGAAACAGTAGGAAACATTCGTGTCCGTGGCAAAGTATTAATCTGTCTTAAAATGTTATTATTAATGCTTAATCGCTGGTTGTATTGTTTTACTTCCCGATATATATGATACTTAGAAATATTGTATATTTCCTAGATTCAAAACCTATTATTTTCCACAATGAACATTTGTAAAACAGACTGTGATAATTACTTGTTACTATCATCGGATGCTGTTGAACGAGTACCTATACTTCCTTTTTGGATGTTCACGCTGATAGATCTTGTATACTTAGAAAGATAAGCTTCAACGTGAAAGAGTTTTATATATCAAATTAAAGAACTAGTTATATTTTCATCCTGATTCATTGTATTCTTTTTTTTTTGTACTACCTGTACAATTACCATAATTAGATTGTTCGAACATTATATTATAAATGCAAATGGCAATAAAATTTTGTTGGAAAATTAAAGCGAGATTATCTTTCTTAACGGAGTAGATCTATAAGCTAAACGAGCGCATTCTTTCATTTTATATCTTTATTCTATAACACAACGCGCTCGGTACTACGGGTAGTTGAAAATTTAATGGCAGTAATTAATCATATTTCACCGAAACATTCTTATAACGTTTTTAATCTTCGATTCCTAAATCGTTTGATTTCGTACTGGCGTTTGCAATGGAATTCGTGTGGAGATCAAAAAGAAACAAAAGGCGTATAACACCGACCCTTTGTTTTAGGAAACGGCGCAACCGCATCTCAGGACACGGATTTCGTTATTCTTCAATCTAATCCGCATATGCACTGGGTACCAGTTAACGACGAACCAGAAACATCGGACGACAGTTCACTGGAGTCTACGGTTCACCTTCAGCGTACAAATTCCCAACGTAGCATCACGTCTCAACTCAGCACGAGATCCGTTTGCTCGTTTGGACGTAGAAATACAAGGAGAGATGGCGGCAATTCCAACACTAGCAGACCATCTTCTTTGTTCATGTCTCCACCGCCATCTCCTAGACCTGCTTTTAGATCTAAGTCAACGGACGAGAATTACGTGGCAAACAATATACCCTTGAAGCCGACTATCTCGACGCCTATTAAGAAACTGCGGTCCACGTCGACGTTAAACGAAGAGGCAGTGTCGGTATCAGTTCCAAACTCTAGCCTGGAAAAGCTAACGAAATTGAAGGACCGTCTGATGGGAACATTGCCAGCCTCGTCCGCTCCGGGGGAGAGCGAGGACGAATCAACACCGTTGGTTTCCGAATTGTCCACCCCGACCCATTCGCAATCCGACAGTGTGTTCAAACATGACTCTAGCGAAGAGCATAGTAGCTCGGTCTCGTCGAACAAAAGTTTACCCCGGGACGGTGAACGATCCATTGACATAGATTATTCCGACACGGTGAGCTTAATGGTAAGGGAGCCATTGCACGTGCGTTTCTTATCGCGACAGGACGCAGAAGAATGGGACAATCCCGAGACACCAGTCTGATATCCCCTGTTACATGATCTTCACCGAGTCTTTTGGTGGTAGGCAATAATGTGTGATACGAATACGTGTGAATCGTAGCTTTAAGTAAAAAGAATATTTCAATTGAAGTTTGTGATAAATTTCCAGAGATAATAGGATAAGCCACTGGGTTTTGACTGTGCTTTGTAAATAGTATATAGACGATACTGTCCCCTCTTTGGCGGAATGTTTGATGGTGTTCATGTCAGTGTTGAGCAGATTATAATCGAAGTAGTGATTGTCGATTACGATTAATATGGTTAACTCTTAATACCATAGTAACTAATTTCTTTTTTTTTTTGCTGAAACTACTATTGATTAAATTAATGATCCATCTTCGATGATTAATAAAGCTACCTAATTGATTTGAATTAAAAAATTTCATAAGTTATTAACACTTTAATGGCCGCCGTATCACCGTTGTCCGTCACCACTGATATTGTAGACCAAAGTGAGATACACGAAGATGCTAGGAATATTATTATAAGGAATTATAAATGTAACCTCACAAACGTAATAAGTTGAATATACGATGAAATAGTGACTGATACAGTAAATCACGCACACGTGACAGTGGCCAACGTCTGCTAGCTCGCAAAGTCACGTATACGTGACAGCGGCCGTCAAAGTGTTAATATTGTTTTTATAATAAAATTTGTAATTACAACGCCGTTTTTAAACAATCGACTAAATTTTGATAAACGTACTTCTTTTAGAGAAGTAATTTGACTATTTCCAATTTAAATAGAAAAATAATAATAACATTTAGAATCACTTACGTTAAGGAAACATAGGAAAGTAACACATTAAGAAAATCAATGTTTGTTAATTTATGGTGATAAATTTGTTAGAGAACTTTCTGTAGTGCATCTTCAATGGTACAAGTATCTACCACCAGCAAAGTGTTAACAGTGATATTTGATAGGACCTGGACTTGTTTAAAAGAACATTGTTTGAAGTAGCATTTCAATTAACGTGTTATCCTATTTGTTTGTTACATTATTTTTTAAAAACACTATTTTGTGGTTCCATTTCAAGAAATATGTTTTGAAATCAGTCATTTTGTATTTAAGACAACGAGATTTACGTTATTAGTCACCGAAAAGTAATCATTAATTCAATCAATAATGGGACAACACCAATGAATAACGATTATTTAATCGTCGGTCGACAATTAAATTTTGTATTGCATCTCGATTAATTTATTCAACGAAATTAGTCGATTGATGTCCAACTGTTTCATGTGACCCAAAAAGGAATTCTATAATAAATAGCGACGGGACTGATACGATACATATTGATGATATTCAAGCAATTCAATACCAACGTACTTAATAACAAGTATCGAAGAGATATCGAAATCTCAAGAATGCGATATCGAGTTCCGATACTGATGCTGTTGGAATGGATACCAATATTGAGCGAAATGTAATCTCGTTACATTTGTCCTAATCACTTTGTAGAAGTGATTGTAGAAATTGAAGCCAGATTACATTTTACCCATCATTAATTAATACTAATGGATAGATTATCAAAATTACAAAACAAAATCTAATCGGTATCTCTAAATAGTTGTATTTATCTTGTTCACATTATCTTTTACATCGAATACTTCCTTCTTTCGAACCAAAACCAAATCTAATCAGTATGAAATAAGCAATACGAGAAAATAGATACAATTCGAAGTATGTAATTACGAAATGAACTCTGGAAATAATTATTTGACATCGTACTTATTAACTACTTATTTCATATCGACCAAACTGTTTGTTTTACTTTCTGATACATTCATGATAAAATCGATGTCTGCTAGGTTTATACGATATGGTATTAATATGTAATCATTATAAAATTATCGGTATTGAAAATTGATATCGAGTATCTACGTGTTGTATTTAATTGATATGTATCGATACCTTCGGATAGTTATCAAACCGGTTTTATGCAAAATGATATTTTATTATCTGGTACCAGTAGTATTGATACAGAAATAAATCCATCGCTAATTACGAATCATGTAAAAAAGAGAAGCATGCCTTTTATGCTACATATGCGAAATAAGATGTATTTAACCTTTGTGGGCATACTGAGCAAATAACATTCCGTAATAATTTTAACGCATTTAACGATGTGAGTATAGATATCAGTATTTTTGTTAAATGACTGATATCGAAGCAGAAAGTGTTTCTTTTATCATATTATAAAAATTCGGGTGTTGAGAAATTGATTAGTCAATTTGTAAATACAGTTTAAAGTGTAATTTGGAAGCAGATGAATAAATCTTAAAATATTTTAAAATACTGTTTCATGTTTAGTATGTGCCCGGTAGACACAAAGGAACAACACAAAAAATTCTGTTCCTTTGCCGCGTGTAAGATAATATTGTTACGAATACGAAGTACCATTACGAATTTTTAAATGTATGTTGTATAACAGGTAAATGTATAACAGTGCTGACTTGTAGGTTGATCGGTATCAAAAAATTAATAAGATATTTTACATTGATAAACATTTGTATCTGTGAGATAAAATTTTGTGTAGTACTGCTTTTATTATCGTATCAGCGCGATAAAATTATGTAGCAGTTTTTTAAGATAGAATGACGAAACTACTGCATACTTAATTATTCACTAATTTATAAGAGGCTACCGAACCGATATTATTAACAAATAATTTAAAATAATTTATTTTAAATTGTTAAAATTCAACCATTAAATTTTTACTAGAGTTTTTTTTTAATCTTGCAAAAAACGTTATTTAGCGACATTATCAATTTTTATGAACATTAGAACTATTAAAAAATAACGGTATACAGGGTGTTCAGCTAAAAATTTTAATGGGATATTCTAGAGGCCAAAATAAGACGAAAATCAAGAATATCAATTTCTTGACTGAGGCTTCATTAAAATGTTATTAAAAAATTTCAAATCATTCTGGAAAAATTATTTTCGGTTGCGGGAATCAATTACAATCATTTTTTATCGTTAGACATACCCTCGAAATCTTACCCACTTTTGAGAAAAAAATTCGAAGTGTGAAAATTTTTCGACGAAACTAGAAAATTTCAAATCGTTCTAAAAACATAATTAGTGGTTGCAGGGGTCAATTACAATCTTTTGGTCAATAGGCATACCACCGAAATCCTACGCACTTTTCAGAAAAAAATTCTTTATCAAAAATATAATGTCTGACCATACATTGGCCTATTTCCCTGAAATTTTTCGACAAAATTAAAAAATTTCAAATCGTTCTGGAAAAATTATTTTCGGTTGGGGGAGTCAATTACAATCATTTTTTATCGTTAGACATACCCTCGAAATCTTACCCACTTTTGAGGAAAAAATTCGAGGTGTGAAAATTTTTCGACGAAACTAGAAAATTTCAAATCGTTCTAAAAACATAATTAGTGGTTGCAGGGGTCAATTACAATCTTTTGGTCAATAGACATACCACCGAAATCCTACGCACTTTTCAGAAAAAAATTCTTTATCAAAAATATAATGTCTGACCATACATTGACCTATTTCCCTGAAATTCTTCGACAAAATTAAAAAATTTCAAATCGTTCTGGAAAAATTATTTTCGGTTGGGGGGGGGGTCAATTACAATAATTTTTGGTGAATAGACCTACCCCCAAAATCCTATCCACTTTCTAGAAAAAAATTCAATACGGGCGGAACTTTAAACGTTAATAACTTTTTAACGAAGCCTCCATCAACGAATTAGTATTCTTGATGTTCGTCTTATTTTGACCTCTAGAATCTCCCATTAAAATTTTTACCAGGTGTGGCCAAACACCCGGTATAACTAATTTGACAATAAATTGAAATAAAATCCTGATCAATTGGCACATTGGCTTATAACGTATAATAATTATTAAATGTATTACTTTTAATCTATTCATAAAATTTTAGTTAAACCCCTGGGGAAAATGTTAATGGGAGATTCTGGAGGCCAAAATAAGACAAAAATCAAGAATAGTAATTTGTTGATCGAGGCTTCGTTAGAAAGTTATTAAAGTTTAAAGTTCCGCTTGTAGAACGGCAATCTGAGAGCAGCTGCGTGCGCACGATAGTGGTCCTCACTCATAGAATTGTAAGGCTGTCGATACGTCAGTAAGTAGAGTTTCTCATGCTGAGTGAGAACCACTGTCGCGTGTACGCAGCTGTTCTCAGATTGCCATTCTACAGGCGGAACTTTAAACGTTAATAACTTTTTAACGAAGCCTCCATCAACAAATCAGTATTATTGATTTTCGTCTTATTTTGGCCTCTAGAATCTCCCATTAAAATTTTTGCCAGGTGTGGCCGAACACCCTGTATATAAATTATAAATCTCAAAGTATTCTAAACAGCATGTAATTTTAATTTCGTCTATTTTAAACTTGTTAATGCCTAATTTGTACCTAATACCTAATACATATATTTCTGAAAAATCCACAGTATAACTTTTTAATGGTACTTTTTTATTACAAAGCAAAAATTATACATAACGTATATAACAGTATATGTATATAACACTTTAGGACGGAATACATTAGGGTATCGGTTAATAATAGCACTGTAAACACAGGTAATAGATATATTAAATTTTCAAATGATAGTATCATATGTACTTAACTTATTACTATTAAATACATAAACAAACATAAAACAGCGCCTTGTTCTACTTTCATAAATGCTTGTATATGGAATACAATAAGTACTTCAACAGCCTTTTACGTAATTCGTCGAAAAAGACGAGACTTACTTTGTATAATTTAAATTTCGAAATTTTTCAAGGCAAAAAATATCTCACAGTTGCATTTTAGATGCAATTACTGATCATTGCTCGCATAATACAATAAACTTCGTCAGATATATTAAGAAAAACCAGGAGACATAACATGTTAAAAGAAATTGATCACAAATGTGTACATAAAGTTCTTGAATCCTTTTAATTTTTTATAATTATCGGATTCTTTTAGTTCATTGTAGTATGTTATTCTTTTTACAAAATACTGATACATCAGTTACAAAATATTGTAACTATATAAACAATAAACATTATAATTGATGAGAAATATTTTGTTTTTGCAATGGTGTTGAATGACACAATAAAATACATGATCAATACTTTACCGTATCATATATTTGAAATTATATTTTAATTGTACTATGCTACAGATAAATGGATATGAAATTTTTCTCTATAAAATAAAATGAAATACGTCATCTTTTCTAATTCTTCATGAAAGAAGATTAATAGAAAAGAAATTAATCATCTTTTATGAACTAATCGTATTACACCAATAATAATGTACATATTTTCACAGATAAAAATATTTTTAACAATAAAAACTTTTATAGGAGGTAAAATTTCAATTCATAGGAATGACTATAAAATTTGAATACAATAGTCTTCTCTTTTTCATTATAATTAAAGGCACTATGGCAAGTATAAAATACTATCTCACAGGTGTTTAAATACTTGTATATATACCGTTTGAGTACACAAACTTCGTTTATGAATTCAAAAAATGTAAATATACAATTGAACGAAAATTCTGAAAAATAAGTATTTATTAAATAGTATTTTAAAAGTTTGTGTACCCTTTATATAATGTATTTACCTTTTAATAAAAGCACCATACATTATTGTTCAATGTATGTATACGTTTCCCATACATACTAACAGGGTGGAAGGACACTTAATTTTTGTAACAATCAACTATCCTACTCAATAATAAATGCAAAATATATTTAAGTAATTTGCATGGCAAAACGATTAGAAATGCTTAAAAATATAAGTAAAATTGCTATCGATAAAAAGCAAACATAAACATGGAATAATATTTTTGTAACAAAAAAGTATTGCATCTAAGTATTATTTTTATGGTACTAAGGAGTACTGATATAGTCTTTAAATTATATGTATATATTACGCATACAGTAAAACTTCCTAATTTCAAATTTTCAAGTAAAAAGTACATTACAAAAAAAGTTAATTTTTGACAAGAAATTATTGTTTGTATGCTTTATATTTAAAAACTAATTGTTCTACGAAACCTCACTAACATATTCCAAAGGATATAGCTAAATAAAGGGGTCAAATGTGCCCTTGAACCAAATTTGACATACAATGGATCCATTGATGCAGTATCAGCATCAAACATTCTACGCCAAGTTTCAATCCTCTATCTTATTCGGAAGGGTAGTTATAGGACAAATTCGGATTAATCGAGTACGAAAATTACGTAATAAATCTGGTGCATTATGATCATCGAGATACGTGTTCAAGAATTTTTTCCGATTTTTGGATTCGAAATTCTAGATGTGAAAAATTAAAAACGCAAAAAAATACGGATTTCGTATTGAAGCTTTCGAGACACTAGAAACTGCTCCATAATTATTTTTGTGTACATGTAGTTTAGGTGAAAATATTTTTGAAAATTGAAAGAACATAGAATTAATATAATAAAAAAAAATGTACTTTAAGCGGGGCGCGAACCCGCGTCAAAAAATTTGCATTGTATCCACAGTCAAGGACCTTACTCACTGTACCATCGCAGCTGTTGGAAATACTGTTGATACTTTTGAATATAACACGCATAGCACCTTTTATTTAATGACTTATTTTTGTTTCTCTATTTTGTACACCGTTCTGTTCGACATAGAAATGTTTAAAACCATAGAATATAGTTATCTATTAAATGGAATACAAAAATTCAAAGTATAAGTTTCTTTTTCACGCGAAAACTTCGAAAAAATCGGTTTTTGATTTTTCCAACTACGGCGCAACCTACCAAAAAATCGAAAAAAATTCAGGGTCATAACCAATGACAATACGCATTCATTTACGGTAATTATATAAATCTAGTGTCTCAAAAGCTTCAAGTTTTTAATTTTTCACGTCTAGAATTTGGAATCTAAAAATCGGAAAAAATTCTTGAACATGTATCTCGATAACCACAATGCACCAAATTTTTTACGCAATTTTCGTACTCGATTAATCGAAGTTTTCTTTATAACTACCAAGTTTCCTTATACTCCAATGAAACTTGGCATAGAATGTTTGATTCTGATGCTTTATCGATGGATCCATCGTAAGTAAAATTTGGTTCAAGAGTACATTTGATCTCCTTATTCGGTTATACCCCTTATAAAGGGTATAATTACACAATCCATGAAATTAATTAAATTATTTTATATTGATAATTTTATAAATTTAAATAGTCTTTTAATACTTACATAAATGTAAACTAGTTTCTGTTTACGAATTATCTAAGAGTCTGATAGGTCTCATTTCAATTTTGAATTAATTTTGATTATACTGTATTACTTCTTTCACTAGGCAGTATCGTCGTATTCTTGTAGGCACTTTAAGTAAATTATTATGCAGTCCAAGGAAGACGGGATTTAATAAATATTTTGATTATTCAGTACTTTCCATGTGTTCCATCAAATAAATAATACTTCAGAGTTGCGTTGTAATTACTGTCTTCCTTGTAATAATAGTATGCTTGATCGGAGTTTGATCCGTTGTAGTGGTTTGTAATGGATCAGCTACGAGCCAAGGACTGATGTCAGAAACTGCCGAATTGTCATCCTACAACATAAAAATAATAGTTGTAGATCACCGATTAAAAAATTATTGTATATATAACTTATAAGTAATATTGATAAAAAGCATGCTGTATAATTCATAAATGATTTGAGCACACTATAATTTGAGGTACATAAATACATTAACGATATTAAAAATTTGTTTAATATTGATGTTTTAGATTACATTGTCAATCACAAATTTTAAGTTATTTAATTAAAGTGTTCGCGCGTGCGTGTATGTGTAAATAGATATTCTACTTTTCCTAACTTGAAATAACTTACAACATCAAATTTAAACAAATCTAAGAAAAATGCACCATGATCGACAAAATTAAATTTGGATTAAAACCTATTCAAGATATCAAAAATATATGCATATATGTACATGCGCAACTTGCACGAACCAAAGAAAGCATTTTTTTCAAATCACACAAGTACAATACAGAAAACATTATTACAGTAGAGCTAGCTCGCAAGCACGAACCACACCTTGTGAGTAAGAGTTGTAGTAGTTGTTTGTATTTCCTCGGTTTTCACAACTCTTGCCCCGTTTTTCTCTGCTTCAGCTTCGACTTTCTTTTCGACAGCAGGTTGCAGTTCTTTAAAGGGATTAAGCAGACCCAAAAATGGATTCGAATCTATGAACGGATTCGTATTCGTTTTCTTTTCCTCCTCTGTTTTTGTATCCTCTTCTACATTCTCAGAAATGTTAGTAACTTCGTTGTTGTTGTCACTTGTAAATGGATTAAATGGATTCTGAGATTGATTTGAAATTTTAGGATTCAATTGAGTAGTTTTCTGTTCAATTTGTCCCCAACTGTCTAAAGAAAAGTGCGTTACAGTTACAGTATCATCCATGGATGGATTCGTTGTCGTTGCTCCACTAACAGAAAGTGTCAGTTTGTCTCCACCCTAAATAATGGACAATGCAAGAAAGCAAACAAATCACAACTAAAGCCTAGGAAGCACAAAACGATAGGGCAAGTATCGATTAAAAATACTTGAGCGTGTAAGGATATGAAATATGTCTAATAAAGTATAACATAAAAAGTGTAAGAAAGATGTATGTAATGATATTTAAATTCATACTTAAAAGAAAATCTCATTTATATATTTCTATAACTGAAAAATAATGTCTGCACAAAATTGTTAAATAGTTTTTAAATATTTAAATACTCATTTGAATACTAAACAATATTCTTTGCAATATATTTATGAAGATAATGCGAAATAGTTTAATTAATTAATATCAATGTAATATCAAACAAATAACTGTCTATTGCGATGTATTATCTGAACATTTATTCCACCATTTTGCGTGGTAATTAGCGTAAAAATATTTAAAACAAATAACATAAGTAATAGTAAGTAATATTGTTTTCTCACCACAGACACAATCGTTGCTGCATCGGAATGCTGATTGTTCTTAGTGACAACTGCGGATGCGTCCGTAGAAGTGATCGAAACTAAATTTGAATTTTTGCCCTGCTCGAGAGATTTTGCTTTTAATATATTACATTTCAACGATTCCAACGGAATGGGTGTACGAGGAGGCAGCGAAGAGGTACCGCCAACTTGGTTATTTGGCACTAATTGCACTTGATTAGTCATGTTCTCAATGGTCAAACTTGTTTTCACTGGTTCCAACTCTTTTTCACTGCTGGCACCTGTTGTTTGATTTCTAGGCTCCAGAGGTTGCTGATCTTTGGCAAGCGATTTCAATAAGCAATCTACCAAAGGTGAAGATGTACCGTGTATACTCGAATCTGAAGACTTTGTACTACATTGGCTCGATTGACGTTGCAAAGACTGTTCCTCAGCTGAAAGTGAAAAAACTTTATAAAGTTAATATTTTCAACTAAACATAACAAACAAAACCTCAACCTTTTCTTGCAAAACTATAGTATTATTATTGATTTAAATTGAGAAAATGCAAACCTGCTTTGGAAATTTATGACCCGCAGTCGCTATATGCGGTAAAATGTTAACTAAAAACGTCCTTTCTCAAAAGACGACTTTAAAGTTTGATGTACGGTTTAGAAGTATACGAGATAATTGTAGTAACTGGACGAGGATATAGCTCTACTCTAAGTGAAAATAGAAAGAAACTGCGATGAAAATTTTTATATGATTTAATGTCCTCTTTATATATACTTTAATATTATAACTAGTATTTCGTGATACAATCTTTTGCCCAAGTAAATCTGTGCTCTTGTAAAGTGCATTTCCACTTTCTTTACAGATGAAACTACCTAACTTTAAGATGAAAAAAAGTGTTTTCTATAGTCTTACCCTATACCTCTTATACACAGACATTTAATAAATCGATTTATGCAAATAAATTAGATAGCTCTATTTAAAAATAAAAAAATACGATTGCACCAATGTACTTAGGAAAAAATAGTATCATAGAATAAGAGAGGCCATTAAACTATGTAAAATTTTCTCCTATGATATTGTTCTATCTTCATTTAGTATAGAATAGAACTGTAACCTGGGCCACCTACTAATTACATTATACAAAATTTAACTCGATTTAGTCAACTACATCAAATCCATTTTCTAAATTTTGACAATTCGTTTGTAAATACATATTTTGATTGAGTTCACTATACAGGAAAAGGTTAAATTTATAATTTTAATTTAATATATTATATACTATTCTAAACAAAAATGTTTGATATTATCGATTTTTTTACTCTAGATACGAGAAAATTCCCTTAACTCTTTGGGGCATGCCGGGATTAAAAGTGTCCCACCTTTTTGATGCACCGTAATGCATGGTGGGACACTTTTAATCCCACCTCGAAATATTGCAATAGCTGCATGCGCGCGCATAGATTTATATTTCGTCTTATTTACGTAAAGCAGTTGGTAATATCTTCAACAAATGTTACATGCCAATACAGGTTCATCAATTGTAGCAAACGGAAGGTTTATTGCGACAACTATTACTATTTTTTTTTGTTTTACAATTTTGTTTAATTTAAAACGCAATAAAATTTCTATGCAACATGAGTCTACTTTATTATCTGAAATCCTGTGCCGCAAAGAGTTAATAGAACGAACATATGCATTTGTAAACCTACTGGTAGGTGGTGATGGTTGAGGTTGTTCTACTTGTTGACGTTGTCGTTCTCTTAAAACGTGACTTTGTCGGCGTGCATATCTTTGACTCGGACGTCGCTCAAATTGTACAGTCCTACGCGCACGGTTGAGTTGAGTCGTTTGGAATTCAGTTTTACCACTATAACGAAATCGCGAACCCATGCGGAAAAAGTTTTGTCTTCCACTGGCACCTTTAACGGGAGCTCGTAGTCGAAAGAAGGCATGATGCTCTACCGCGCATTTCCATAGATGTTTGCAAGCCTTCTCATTAACCAATCTAAATACAAATGTGTGTTCTTGCTCTCCTCTTCCTTCGTCATCTTCCTCCACTACAACTAACGTTAACTTCTTTTTCTTAAAATCTAAACGCCCGATCTTAGGCCAGAAGAATAAGCCTATCTTTTGCGTGCCTTCGAAGACTAAGATTCCAGTTGGAGTTAAACCTAAAGAATATTCACAAGCATCTTTCCCAAGAACAGTATGCATGTCTACGCCATACATATCCAACCATTTCGCTTTACTAAGATAAGCTGATTCAGCTTGTGCCGGACTAAGACCAGAACACTTTGTATATTCCTCGAGTATTTCAAGTTCCATTTGTTCCGTTTGACTTGGTACAAATCGAAATTCTGACACTGTTGCCGCAGTATGTATGGCATGATCATAGTCACCCAGTTCAGCTGAAAATATGAACAGCTTTGTCTCAAAACGCATCTTAAGATGTTATATCTTTCTTACATGTTATTAGTGTGTAAATGCTTACATTGAAGAGCTAATGCAGCTAACTGAACTGCGACTTGATGAGGGCAGTGAAGTTTTCCTTCCAAAACATCTTGCTTCAATTGCAAGAAAAACTGATACCGTGTTAATTCTTCGCGTAATGTATTAGGCTCGGATGAATAAAACTTTACTTTCAGTCGTAAAGTATATGGTGGCCCGACTATAAAAAAGAATATATATTGATGTATTAATTACTAATTCAGAAAATGGTATTTTCATTCTAGGTACAACATTTTCTACAAACAAACAACATAAAATGTAAAAGGATGCTACATTTATGATTCATAAATACATTTTTATAATTTTTTCGATTACATATGAAAGTAAGTCATACTTTTTACTTGTTTCTTTATTGGTTTCGTTGGATCCAACCAATGTTGAACATTATTACTGTCTGTATATTGTAATCCAAAATAGTCTTTCTCTATTAAATCTAAACTATAAAATACTTGTTCGTATAAGTCACTAGCCAATGCCTTTTTCTGCAACAGAAAAATATTTAAATATATAAAATAAATATTTATACACACACGTATATTGTATTTGTATAATACTTATATGAATGACTATAATAAACAAAACTTTTGTAAGTATCTAGTAAGTAAAGACATTTTTTTTATAATTTACTCAAAATCCATTATATGCTTTTATACGTAAAAAATTGATAAAAAATATAAAAGAATTAAAATAAATAGAAAAAAATTATCCATTTGTCCTGGATTGGAGCTTGGACCCACAGCGTAGAAAGTCTGATTCGTTGCTAGACTAGATCATTGCATGTAGAAACCATCTTGAATAGAATTATATTTATGGAACGATGAATTTTTAATTGCAAATATCTGATAAACGGAATGAATTAGTGGATAGTGATCCATATAAATATCTAGCATCATAAACAGGGAGACCAAATATACCATTCAGCAAAATTTGAACTAAATCAGTAACCCCAAGGTTTTACAGTTTCCTTGTTAGTCACAACCTTTATATGTTATTGTTGGCTTCCACAAACTTCGTAGAGCAGTTATTTAGTAAATAGATAAGTACAAGAACTATTTACAAACACCTTAAATTTATTAACAAATATATATACACGTGTTAACAATGGTACATATATAAATGGTTCGTAAATTTCTTGACATCTAATCCGTACAAAATTTGTTCTATTACACTCTTGTATACTATGTATCTGTAACTGTTCTGACCGTAACCTTTCAATGTCTTGTATAATTAAGTTCTGTTCCAACTAACTGTTCAATGTTCTGGCTATAACTTGTAACTTGCTCTTGTGTAACTTGTAAATGAATAAAATACACACAGTTCTCAAGTTACACAGGCTCGAGTCAAGTAGGTTCATAAATATGTGTTATGCCTTCGCCTATGTCCTTATACATATTTTATATGTGTGTATATATTTATATATTAAATAAAATTCTCTTTCCTTCAATTTTGTTTTCATAGAGAAATACATATGAGACTATTTAACTTAAATTAACTTTTATAATCAAAATTGTATATCAAATGTATTGTAAGAAAAAAGATCAATCCTGGTAAAAAATGCTAGGTCGGATGGTTCGGTCAGTTTTAACCCATTGGCTGCTAACAGGACAATTTATCAGGTCTTGGTAAGTATGCAAAAACTGCCACAAGCCTATGCAACAGCTCCGGACATTTAAATAGATTCAGATTATCTCTCTTCTGAGTATTAAAATGCTCTTCCTCGTGTTTAGTCATTATCTCTAATGCTAAAATTTTCTATACGCTAATTTCTTTCAGCTATAACATTTGGTTCAGCTGATCCATAATGTTAGGGCAACAAGAAGATGAAAGTGCAGAAAACTCAGTATTTGATTTGTCTGAGAACGATAGCCAGTTGTCAGTAACTAATGTAAAAAATATTACTATAGAAAATAATTTTTCACACATAATGTATACAGGGTGGGGCAATAATTATTAGCACTTCAGATATCTCAGAAACTAAAAGTTTCACAGAAATATTTGCTGAAATAAAATTGCACATTACGAAGGGGGCCATCTGGTGGCGATAATAGTTTTATTGCAGGTGGAGGTACTTCGGATCTTTGAAGGCCATCACCATTTTTTTAAATGGATCGGTATGTTTTTGCTTCAGTATCATGATAGAGGATCTTAAAACGAGTTCAACGACCTATTATATAAGGTCATTGAAGATCATAGAAAGTAGAGAAAGGCGATAATACGTACGGTTTTGGTAGTAAATGAAACATACGTATTGTAAACTTATTTTATCAATGGAAATTTGAATAGCAACATCTATGCTAATTTTATTAAGGATACATTGAGTCTTTTGCTAGAAGAGTCACCTTTACTTACACGACAAACCATGTGGTATCAACATAATGGATGTCCAGCACTTTATTCATTAACTACACAAAGGGAACTCGATAAAAAATTTCGAAATTGTTGGATTGGACGCGGAGGTCCAATATCGTGGCCAGCTCATTCACCAAACTTAACACCTCTAGATTTCTTTCTGTGGGGAACAGTGAAAGAGAAAGTGTACAAAGAAGTACCAACTACACCTTACGGCATACAACAGCAAATTATTGCAGCCTGTGCGTCAATAAGTTTATAATAATAAGATCATAAGCGTCAGTAAGTATTATCACCTTTCTTTACTTTCTATAATCTCCAATGACCTTATGTAATAAGTTGTTGAACTCGTTTTAAGATCCTCTATCATGATACAAAAGCAAAAACATACCGATCCATTTAAAATAATGGTGATGACCTTCAAATGTTCAAAGTACCTCTACCTGTGAAAAAACTATTATCGCCACCAGATGGCCCCCTTCATGCTGTATAATTTTATTTCAGCAAATATTTCTGTGAAACTTATAGTTTCTGAGATATCTGAGGTGCTAATTTTGCATTTGCATAGGGCTATTGCCCCACCCTGTATAATCCAAATATAAAAGTTTATATTATTTATTATTAAATATTTGATTACAGTACGATTATATTTCATATCCTTCACGTTTGAAAAGAATAAATATTAAAACTTTCCTCCAGAAAATTAACATTCTCTTCTGTATAAAAAAATTTATAGAAACTTGCATATCAAGTTGACACAGGCAGTCTTCGCAAAGTAGATGAGCCTGGTATCAGAAGGGTTAAAAAGACCTGCAACTAAATAAAACTAACTCGACGCTGTCCATGTTCCTTTTAACGATGGTACTGTATTATTCTTAATCGGTGTCTGAGCTTTCTTTTTTCCTGTAATACATTGTATTTAGATAATTTGACTTGGAAAGAAATCATCAGAATGAATTAACTACGTAAGTGTAGGAATATTTATATTTTATTCCTAAAGTTTGGTCACTTATTTTAGAAACACCTTGTATATTATGTCAAAATATAAACGAATTTCAAATATCGTTAGTAAAGTTCGGATAATGTTTTTCAACGAAAAATCTGCTGGAAACGAAAATGATAATAGTAAAGTGTCGCATAATAAACTGTCCGACTTACTGACAACTCTATGGGCAGATCCGTTCCGTCGAGTAAAACGACTCTGCACTGAACAACATTCTTGTTGCTCAGCAATCGTTGGTTTTTGATCTGGGACGACGCGGTTTGCCCGCTAACACTACGCGCCCTACGTCGCGATAGGAACCTTAACATTTTATTTGACATACGTTTAAAGCGTTCACTGCCTGGCAAGTGTTCCCGAGCCGTATCGCTACATTCCTCGTTATGAGAATATCATTTTCGCGTTACGTTGCCGTGAAATACGCCCACCTGCGCGTTACGTACATGCATAAACACACGCTTATAATGAACGAAATGGTCACTCGTTAAACATACGTATTAAAAGGATTGTGAAAAATATCTACATCATATTTATTTGTTAGTTGACTAGCCATAACAAACCGCGAGGTCCACACCTAACCAGAGATGGTATACATCTCTATTACGGTAAACTCACGAATATTTTTTTCTGTTCGAAACATTTTTTCCAACACGTTAGCACGTTACAAGCTGTGGAGAAACTATTACTAGAATGATCTAGACTTTTATTCAAATTTCACGGAGTTTCGAGAAAACGCGTCTTAACGGTTCAACGTAAAATTGTATATTATAAAAATTCGATAAAATATTAATATGTACAAACGAATAAAACCATAACACTAATAAATATTTACAATTCCACCAATCACAAATATCGTTATAAAATGAATAATATAAAATGCATTTTAATTCGTATAAACTTGGCAACTAACTTCATTCATTCTTCTAACTAAATTCTCGCGCGCAAACACAGCACTTAACAAATCCCTACAAAGTAGCAAAACGGCTATTTAGCAGGAAGGAATTCAAATATTAGGGAGAGTAGAATACACACCAAAGTTTGGCGATCTATTTTTAAAGCACCATATACAGGGTGCTCGCAAAATTGTAGTACAACCGGCAAGGAGGTGATTCCTCATATAAAACTAAGCCGAAAATCTAGAATAAAGTTTTTTCATACAGGGTTTCATATTCGAGAAAATCAGACACAGTCTGTTTCATTTGTTCGCACGCTTCTTGCACTTATAAATAATATCAATCGATATATAATATTAATAAATAGTAAATTGTACTAATCAATTACAGCAAAAGCATTACCATTCTAACTGTTATAAGCTCCTAATGCATGAATCATATCCGTGTATTTACGATTGGTACACCTTGCCAATACGATAGCTCCAGAAATACTAGGAGTTCCGATCTACAATCAGCCCTTGACCGTAATGAAATAAGACAAGTGTAAAATCTTCGACACTGTTTATAAACAAAAGCAGCACTGGGGATTGTAAACCAGACTAGGCAAACGAAGCAGACTGTGTTTAAGTGTACACGTATCTAATAAATCTACAAACTCGATTTACTTAGAAATTAAGCTTCGTATAAAAAAACTTTATTTTACATTTTCGGATCAGTCTTATGTGAGGAATCATTTCCTTGCCGGTTGTACCATGATTTCGCGAATACCCTGTATAGAGATCAGTGGTAAAGAGTAGCAAAGTTGATACTACAAATCTAGGAATATTTCAATAATTTATCTTGGTAATATCAATCGACGATCAACTCCAGGAGTATGCGCGGTGGCTTCATTCGTTCGGCGACAATGGCGACAGATCTTGATCAGTTTAAACAGCTTTTAAACACACTTCTTAGCACGGATAATGATGCCAGAACACAAGCAGAGGTACGTATATTCCTTGTAATTTTTCCATAGATATAGTACATGTATTAATCTGCTTAAAGACGTAAGTAGCGTAAAATGAAATACTTCAATCATCGAGCACGTTGCCAACGTGTTGTCAGAACTCTCATGTGGGTATCATTCACCGATCATTCGTGTCGAATCGCAGTTATAATTTCAAATTTACGATACAATATTTTTGTATATTAGTAACATAATTTATTTTACGATAAAAGTGATTAACGAATGGAATGTATATTGACAAGTGTTTAGAACAATCTAATAAAATCCAAAATGGTGTCGTGCAGTAGCATGCACCCCGCCAATCTTTTACAATGTACCGTATCAGTTTTAATTAAGTTTTAGTGTATTCCTTGAATATCTGGTATACAATTTATAGTTTTTACATATTTATAGCAATACTATAAAAGAAAAATTTTTATCTACGTTGCGTATCATGTGATATATAGCGTGACTACTTAGGGAGATTGATAATTTGTGTATTATGTTTTCTCGACTATACGTAACCGTGTTTGCTTGAGTCTCCGACATTTCCGAACATGTTTTGAATACTATAGAAAATTTTGTCATGCACATGGATGTTCTTATTGCGCATTTACTTACAGTCACTTTATTGTCGTCATTATAATTAATGTTTTTCTATCTATTATTTTGTTACATTTATTATATACGTTAGCAGGTAACATAAACGAAATGTATAATCATGTGTCACTATGAAGCACATGTTCTCAGTTTAAAAACAAAATTTATTAAATTGTATATTACGAATCACTTGTTAAACAAATTAATGCTTATTATTATTAATAAGCATTAATTTGTCATTAATTATAAATTAATGACAATTATTATTAATATAAATATATTGTTTTATGTAATAAAATGTTTTAATTGATATATATTATGTATCGTTACTTGTTTCTATTATAAATAAAAGATTAATATTGATCTTGTTTATAATATATGATATATTAAATTTCATAATACATGTTTATTATTTTAGGAGGCATATAACAATCTTCCGGTGGAACGCAAGGTAACATTTCTTTTAATTTCTTTGTGCAATGCCACCCTTGCGGAAGAGATGCGTGCTATGGCGGCTGTATTATTACGTCGACTGTTTTCTTCAGAATTCATGGACTTTTACCCCAAAGTAATTATACCTTTATTTCTTTCAAATAATTTTAAAATCATATAAACGATAAAATAGAATTAAAGCGTTCATTACATTTGAAACTTTTATTTGGAATAAATTAATTTTGCTTTTTATATTACGTAACAAAGATATAATTGCACATTTCTTACTGATAGATATAGAAAACTGAAGACTAAAATAATTTCAAATCATATAACAGTTTCTATAGTTTATGCCAGCAACTATTGCCAATGAAAATGTTATTTTTTTAGCTGATAAATGATAATTAATATTTATAGTTCATTTTTTCTCTTTTTTTTTTATTCTATTAATCGTGTGATACGTACATCTTACTTCATTAACGTAGATTATCTCAATATTCGTGATAAACAAATATTTATTTCTGTATAAGTATATCAAGTTAGGTTCAATTATTTTAGACTTCTACGATAAAATGTATCAGATACATAAGTTTTTACATAATTGTCAAATTAAATCAAAGGTCATTTTAATTTAAATCCTATAATAAGTGATTTATCTAATTTATAAAAAAGTTATGCGTTATAATATAGAAATTCGTAAAGTTAAATGATTTTGGAAAATATTTTGCATAGAATATTATAACTAGAATGAAGTGTGTTCCGTGGGTATTCTATATATTATTTTAATCTTTTTTTCAGTAATACGAATACTTGTATTGTATTATTGTAATTTTAATTCAGATCTCGCCAGAAGCACAAGTTCAATTGAAAGAGCAAATTTTATTATCTGTTCAAAATGAACAAACAGAAACTATTCGGCGTAAAGTTTGTGAGGTTGCGGCTGAAGTTGCACGAAATTTAATCGACGAGGATGGTAATAATCAGTGGCCAGAATTCCTGCAATTCTTATTCCAGTGTGCAAATAGTCCTTTACCAGCACTAAAGGAAAGTGCACTTCGAATGTTCACGTAAGTCCATGGTAGCATTTTGTTTTTAAATACATTGCTTTAATCGAGTTCCAGTTGGAATGGAATGTATGTTATTTAAAATTATACATTTAATATCAAATTATATTTTTATATATGCAGATCCGTCCCAGGTGTATTTGGAAATCAACAGGCAAATTATCTTGATCTTATCAAGCAAATGTTACAACAGTCTATTATGGATTCTGCAAATTATGAGGTAATATAAAATTGTATTATATGTTAACATAATTATATTTTACATTTTCATTAGTTAATGTGGAAGATAGATACGCGAGATGCAAGAGTCTAGGCTTTTCGTCATAAATTCTTCCTACAAAGAAATTGCTTTCTGATGACTGTAATTTGTGAAGTTTTAATTTACAGACAGATACGGGGCATACAAAAATTTAATTAACATTATTTATATACTTCGGTTAATTTTATTTTTACTTATGTGGAATAAAGATGTTTTATCGTAATACGAATATGATTATAATGAGTAATAAATTCCATTATATAGGTCAGATTTCAGGCTGTAAGAGCAATAGGAGCTTTCATTATTTTGCACGATAAAGAAGAAAATATACATAAACACTTCTCAGAATTACTACCTGCAATTATACAAGTAACTGCTCAATCGGTAGAAAAACAAACAGATGATGCTCTTTTGAAAGTTTTAATTGATTTGGCTGGATCGACACCAAAGTTTTTGAGATTGCAGTTAGAAACTATAATGGAAATGTGTATGAAAATATTTTCAAACGAAGATATGTCAGACTCGTGGAGACAATTAGCATTAGAAGTCTTAGTAACATTAGCAGAAACTGCTCCTGCTATGGTACGTAAAGTAGGTGGAAAATATATTGCATCTCTAGTACCGTTGGTACTAAAAATGATGACTGATATAGAAGATGATGAAAAATGGAGTTTTTCCGATGAAATTGTTGATGATGACAACGACAGTAACAATGTTGCTGCCGAAAGTGCTTTAGACAGATTAGCAAGTGGTTTAGGTGGTAAAACAATGTTACCACAAATTGTACAGAATATTCCTTCAATGTTGAATAACAGCGATTGGAAATATAGGTAAATACTCTTGACGTATTTATTTTCGTTTTCTCATTGTTGTATATTCACAGAAATGTCAGCAATTATATTCCCTCGTGCAAATAATTGCGTTACATCTGTGATAGAGTAATGTTTATAGGGTTGTTCTCTTTTCTATCTGTCGTTCTGATGGCTAGAAATTCGAGATCCCCTCATAACTGTTCTATCGAGAGTTGACAATGATTCTATAATATTGTCATAGTTTTAGAACAAACATTTGCATATCTGTAAACTTACTATAAGTTTCTTATCAAATCTACAAAATTATAATATGCAGCAGTATTAAATATTTGTATCTAGGCACGCAGCTCTTATGGCAATCTCAGCTGTCGGTGAAGGTTGCCATAAACAAATGGAAGCAATATTACCTCAAATTATGGATGGAGTTATACAATATTTACAAGATCCTGTAAGTTTAATGACTGCTAATTTAGTTTAAAGATAAGGTCATGAATAGAGTCAGCAGTTATGTTTATTGTATAAACATAATAGCGTTACATTCATGATAGAGCAAAATAAAAATTTAGTATTTATTCAGGTTATTGTTTTAATAGCGTGTTTATTAAAAATACCGATTTTAGAGTTCTAGAAAATTGATTATTTATTCTTAAATAATTATTCTATTAGAACTTACAAAATTCATGTCAGTCTATAATATGTACATATATGTAGATGTAATATATAGGTTTATTTTTATTCCATTTCGGGCTATACTTTTATACATTATCTTCGAGCTTTCGTCGCTCATTCTTATCTTTAATCACCGCATCATAACAAACTATTATGTGATGTTATGTTTTTCCATCGTTAATTAATTTCTTTTTCTAGCATCCCCGTGTAAGATACGCCGCTTGTAATGCAGTAGGTCAGATGTCAACTGACTTTGCACCTACATTCGAAAAGAAATTCCATGACAAAGTTATTCCTGGATTATTAATGGTTTTGGACGATAATGCAAACCCAAGAGTTCAAGCTCATGCAGGAGCAGCACTTGTGAACTTCAGTGAGGATTGTCCAAAACATATATTGACACCATATTTGGATGCTATTATGGCCAAATTAGAATCGATACTTACTGCTAAGTTCCAAGAATTAGTTGAAAAAGGCACTAAGCTTGTTCTTGAGCAAGTACGTCTATTAATTATAATGTAATTAACTGAACATGGTAAATTCGTAATTTATAAACAAATATTATTTTTGTAACAGGTTGTTACAACTATTGCATCTGTGGCTGATACTTGTGAAGAACAGTTTGTAACATATTATGACAAACTAATGCCATGTCTAAAGTATATAATTCAAAATGCGAATCAACAAGAGCACAAAATGCTACGTGGTAAAACGATTGAATGCGTGAGTCTCATAGGACTTGCAGTTGGATCAGAAAAGGTATAGTAATTTTAACGCTATGAAATACTTCAGTTGTTCTTTCAAATATTTAATGTAACTAAAGTTTTGGGGATGATATAGTTTATTGCAGATGCTAGCGAAGTTATGGATATGTTACTAAAAACCCATTCTGAAGGAGCTCTTCCAGATGACGATCCACAAACAAGTTATCTTATATCTGCATGGGCTAGAATTTGTAAAATTCTTGGTAAGCTATTAAGAATTCTTTTCACGCTTTCTTTAATTAAAAATATGACATTCATATCTGCATTAAGTAATGTAAATAAAATATTAACATTACAACTTCTTTTAGGTAAACAATTTGAACCATATTTACCATTGGTAATGGGTCCAGTTTTACATACAGCATCTATGAAGCCCGAAATTGCTTTACTGGACAATGAAGATATGGAAGCTATAGAAGATCTTGACTGGGAGTTTATTTCTCTTGGAGAACAGCAAACTTTCGGGATTAAAACAGCTGGCTTGGAGGATAAGGCTTCTGCTTGTGAAATGTTAGCTTGTTACGCTCGAGAATTGAAAGAAGGTTTCGCAGATTACGCAGAAGCTGTAGTACGGCTAATGGTTCCTATGTTGAAATTTTATTTCCATGATGGTGTTAGAGCAGCAGCTGCTGCAAGTTTACCGTACCTACTTGACTGTGCAAAAATAAAAGGTTAAACTATGCAAAATATATAAGTCGCTCTCGCGTTATGAGATATAACAAAAATACTTGTAACCATGTGTTATTACATGACAACTGGGGTTACAGGTCCAATGTATCTCGAAGGTATGTGGTCATATATCTGTCCCGATCTCTTAAAAGCAATTGATACAGAACCGGAATCTGAAGTTCTGTCAGAACTACTCAACTCTTTGGCTAAATGTATTGAAACACTCGGTGCTGATTGCTTAGGGGCACGACCTATGGCCGAACTTCTATGTATATTAGATAAATTACTTAATAAACACTTTGACAGTGCAGTGGCCAGGTTGGAAAAACGTAAGGATGAAGATTATGACGAGGTAGGATTTAAAATTATGATTTGATACAAAATTGTAATTTAAAGCCTTCAGAATGAAAATTCTTATTAAAATTATTATAGATCGTTGAGGAACAACTTGCTGACGAAGACAATGAAGATGTATATACGCTAAGTAAAATAGCAGATATTTTACATGCTTTGTTTATCACATACAAATCTTCGTTCTTCCCATACTTTGATCAAATTTGTGGACATTTTGTAAAATTGTTAAGTCCCGAGAGGTCTTGGTCGGATCATCAATGGGCTTTATGTATCTTCGACGACGTAATAGAATACGGTGGTCTTGATTGTGCAAAATATCAGGAATACTTTTTGCGACCAATGATACAATATGTATCAGATAAATCAGCAGAAGTCCGACAAGCAGCAGCTTATGGTTGCGGTGTTTTGGGTCAACATGGAGGAGAAGCGTTTGCTCAAGCATGTGCAGAAGCCTTACCTAGGTTAATGGAAGTTATAAACGATCCAGAATCTAGATCGCCAGAAAATGTTAACCCGACTGAAAATGCTATTTCTGCAGTAACAAAAATTCTTAAGTATAACAATAAAGCAATTAATGTTGATGAAATACTTCCTCATTGGTAAGTTTCCAGTTTATTATGCATGTGCACTGTCAGTAATCAGTTTCTTTTTAATAAATCCTGTTTTTTTTTTCTATTATTTGAACGTAGGCTCTCTTGGCTACCTGTAGTAGAAGATAAAGATGAAGCACCTTACGTTTATGGATATCTCTGCGATTTAATTGAAGCAAATCATGTAGCAGTTTTAGGTCCAAATAATGCAAATCTACCTCGGCTAATAAGTTTCTTTGCAGAAGCACTTCATAGAGATACATTGCCTACAGATAATTCTGTCATGGGCAGAATTCTTAGTATTGTTAGACAAATACAAGTATGTTGAATAAACATTTAATATAAATGTTATGAAAGTTTCTATGTTTTAATAATAATTTAATTTATTTCAGAACAACGAGTCTATGTTCCAAGCATGCATAAACGCATTAACAACAGATCAACAACAAGCATTACACAAGGCACTTAGTGCACAACCTACTAATTAGTCATTTATTTTTATCTCCGAACTTTAACGCCTTAATTAAAACAAAAAAAAATAAAAACAACACATTTGCTTTAACAAAGCTTATCGTGAAATCACATATTTTAGGTAGCTACATTATACCTATGGAACATTTGCTCCAGCCTAATAATGAAGAGAGACACAATACTGTATGTAATTATTTGACATAACTCGCATATTTGTTGATTATATTTCACTAATTGATACAATAATCGCGCCATTTTTTACTATTCAGAATTGTTACAAATTATATAAAACGAAACTTATACTCGTCATTACTCAGGGAAGTGTGATGAGTTTCACATAAGTCTAGAAGAAATAAAGTTAATTAAATTACATGAATGAGTTCGCACTGACGAAATTTATAAAACTAATTTTTCTTTCGCGACATTTATAAAGGTACGATAATGTGGTGTATATATGTGAACGTATTCTTAACGTAGCAAAATTAAAACAAGACTACATTTTTCGCCATTGAGAGCCGAACGATGCTAAATTTTTTTAAATGTAGCTTTGTAAATTGCGTAGTATTCTAAATATTAATTATAACTATGTTCAGTGAACATTAAAACGCTTATACTTTTGTCACTGCGATCTCTAATTCGTCCCAATTATATCTACATTCTCAAGTTACTTTTTTGACAGAATAATAAAACTGCGAAAAGTAAAACATAGACTGGAAAAAACATCAACTCATTGCCATCAAATGATGGTAGAACATATTGTGATTTAGGTATTTTTATTATTAAATTTAGGTACAGTAAATGTTATTTAATAATAATATCAATAATATTACAGTGTTGAAGTTAGATAAAATTGTATACGAATGCCTTTTGAATGAAACGTAATGAACTCAAAAGTTTTAAGTCTTGGATGATATTGTAATACGTGGAGTACATTAAATTACCTTCTAATTCTAACTCATCGAATCGTATTAAAAGAAACGTATATATTTTCAGTTTGATATAAATTATATATGATCTTGTAATTTTACAGCTAATTTACATTGATTTATTACGCTTATTTAGTTGTACTTTTACACTGGTTTTGTTATCATGTCATCTGCAGAGAAAAAAAAAATGATAATGCTGGGCATTACGTTTCTTCCAATTATTGTGTAATAACAATATAAAATGAGAACAATGTTAAAAACAAAATGAGTGGAATTACAACTTCCTGTTACTGCTATTTATTTGTAAACAATAATTGACACAATGCTTATTATTACGTAAAAATTTGCAGTGAAAAATATACCCTATATGAAGTTTGCAGTTGCATCATAAAGTCCTCTTAAGAATCTTTTTTAATATCATACACATACGCATACACACACACGCACACACACATATATATATTAGAAATATGTAATGATCGAACTTTTGTGTGTGTGTGTGCATGTTCGTGTACATATAGATATATAAATATCAAAGCATATAAATATGATACAAGTACATAACGTTGAATTACATAAATGTAATTATTATTGCAGTAATAGGTACTTTTTAATTATTGTACGAAGTCCAACGTAAAAATCTCGTGAAAAGGATATATGTGCGACTGTAAACAGTTCACTACGAATTAAAGAAGGACTGTTTGTGCGACCTATTGTGACAAAATAATGTGGAAACAAAATTAATATGAGAAAAGTAAAATTATAATTCTTATAATTATATAGAGATTATTTTAAAGTTATTATTAATTAAAATAAATCTCAGCTTTTTAATTGATTGTTTTGTTTTACCTTCAGAAACTATATATTTTTAACTTGATAAAAATGGATTTGTAGGTATATTGCAAATCATAATTGTAATTCTATTTAATTTTTCAAATTTAATAAAATCAAAAATAGTGTCTCGTGATAGTGTGTGCTCTCTGCCACAATCTTCTATAAAATTTTGTTCAATAAATAAACTATATGACATTCAAATTAATATTTTCGCCCAAATTTGATGTTATCAAATGCACAGTCCAAGCAATGATTTATGAAATTAATAAGTGTATTATATCCCACATGATATTTACACATAACAGAGATAAGGATGTACAATAATGAACGTGTGTTCATTTTTAATGGAAAGTGCTATAAATTCGATTTTATTAGACCACACATTTTTTTTTTTCTTTTCTGCATATGTGATTTATAATACAGATTTAAAAACAATTTCGTTACAAAATTGTAAATAATGTACACTCTTTGGTAAACTATTTAAAAGTATGCAACAACTGTACATAAAGCTTGGACAAGACGAGTCAGAGTTTATTAAAGTTCACATAATTCGCAAAAAAACCATGCAATCGTGATTAATATTATGTTTATAAGAACACGTTCCTGCTTCAATCTATACCAAGTAATTTGTAGAATGTCATCATATAGATGATAAGTCAATCGAATACACTTAATCGACGTACGTATGAAATCAAATTTTATACAAATGTAACATTTTTTAATGCCTACACACTTCATTATACAACAGACATAAAATCATTAATGGCACTACTTCATAGTTGAAGCATCGACGACGTTCGTTTGTGGTTAAAATTACTGAACCGCATTAGAAAAAGAAACTGTATGACGCGTATATATGATAAACACAAATATATGTATAGATTTTTGTATTTTTAATGGTTCGACAATTTCATGTGCTAAATAAATCCCTCACAACAAACTATACTACCACAAATAACACATACTAAAAAATAATATTTTTTAAAATAAAAGTAAGTTTTACAACTATAGATATATATATATATATATATATCACAAGAAAATTAATTCGTCTATTTTAATATCGATTCAGCTTATAATTAAATGTAGTATTGCATATTATGATAATGATTATATTTATGATCACCTTTACTTACAACCGTGAACTTACCACTACTGCGTAACAAATTCGTATTTTACTTTAAAATAAAAGAATAGCGCATACGCAGATGTTATCTTAAATTGTGCATGGTTAGTTATTTTAATACCGTGATTTGAATAAACAATTTTACTGACATGACAATAAAACGAACGTGGCCAAAATGCGACTAGTCGCGAAATTTATTGCAGCGTGCGTGGAAATTTCCATCAATTAATTTCGTATAATATGTGTAATAATAAACTATGTATGGTATGATAAATTCAATCATGCTCGCTATTATTTGTTATTCAAATTTATATTTTCTTCAAATTATTTCTTAGGATTAATTTTGAAATTTTTAATATAAAAAACTATTAATTATTTTATTTTCTCGTACGGATACACGTTAAAGGAAGTAATTATATCATGAACTATGATTTGCTAATTGAATGCGTAAACGTGTGCATGTGATATTACATGTTTGTGACGTTTTCGATCATCCGATATTACGTCATCACTATCCCCCTCTTTCGTATCTGGCGGCAGTGTGGCCAGATCGGGCATAATTGAGTGCATCGAAATCGACAATAGTGACGACGAACTTCCTTAGCGTCTAACGTAGTGGTGGGGATAGCAGGCATATGCTATCGCACGAGCCACGTGTACGTGAGCTCGGCACTTCGCACAACTTCGGGAAATCGATAAAGAACGCTAGTGTGAGTCTTTCCTTCTTGCTCTTGTAAAAGAGAAACAGCTGAAATACGACCTCGCGATAATCGGCATACGATTCCAAGTCTCGACTGCCTCAGCATTTTTACTTTCCGACCTATGTAGGGTATAAGGAAAGTACCATAATGAAACAAATTTCGAAAATTTTTTTTAGCGGAAATACACGTTTTAAGACCCCCTGATCATATTGTGACTATTAAAAAAAAAGAAATTTTTTTTGTTCCTATGTTAACATGTTTGCGTCTAAACGGCTATGTTGGAATCCGGGTGGTCAAGTAATGCTCCTTTTGTATTATAAGAGTTTATTCATTTATGTTGAACTCACGCCGAACTCAACTATGAAGAATAACGGAATTTGCAATAGTAGGGGAGGAGGACCCTTAGACCTAGTGACTAACGAGCTTTGTGACTAACAGACGATGACATATCGATATTTGGCCTACTGGTCATCCAACAGCTAAATGAATTTCTATAACGAAAAAAAATTTCGAACATTTTTTTTAGCGAAAATATACGTTTAAAGATCCCTTGATCATATTGTGACTATTACAAAAATGGAAATATTTTTTTCTGTGCCTATTTACGCACGTGCATACGTATGCTATTAATATGATTGTGTCTAAACGGCTGAATGAATTTCAATGAATCTTTACATTTAAGTTTTATGTTCTCGTTTCAAGGTCTGATTAAATTTTGAGCGTGACCAGCTCCCGGGTAATGATAATTATACGTCTTGTAGTTTTTTAATTATTCCGATACATACAGGGTGTCCCACGCAACTGGAACAGGCTATACCTCCTAAACGGTTGGGTATAGAAAATTAGTTTGTTACAACGTGCACGGTACTGGTTAAGAGTGGTTTTTCATTTTACTAAATTTTACTTATTTCAATTTCCAAATATTTATTTCTTGATTAACCCTTTACGAGTGAAAGTGCTTTGAACAACATTATTCTAAAATATTTGTGGAATACATTTTTAATATGGTTTAGGTAGATATGCAATGTATAAGATTTCGTTTAATTTTTCCTTTCTAGAAAAGATAGAAGAAAAGTTTATTTGATCTTAATTTTTTTTAAGATTTATATAAATCGTTTTAAAAAATTTTTATAAATAATGTATATGTATCGAAATAATTATAAAACTATAAGACGTATAATCATCATTACCCTGGAGCCGATCACGCTCAAAATCTAATCAGTTCTTGAAACGAGAACATAAAACTTAAATGTAAAGTTTCATTGAAATTCATTCAGTCATTTACACGTAATCACGTTAATCGCATACGTATGTACGTGCGTAAATGGGCACAGAAAAAAAAATTCCGATTTTTTTAATAGTCACAATATGATCAGGGGATCTTAAAACGTGTATTTTCGCTAAAAATATTTTCGAAATTTTGTTTTCGTTATTGAAATTCATTTAGCCATTTAGACGCAATCATGTTAATACATAAGAACAAAAAAAATTTATTTTTTTTTAATAGTCACAATATGATCAGGGGGTCTTAAAACGTGTATTTCCGCTAAAAAAAATTTTCGAAATTTTTTCATTATGGTACTTTCCTTATACCCTACGTAGGTCGGAAAGTAAAAATGCTGAGGCAGTCGAGACTTGGAATCGTATGCTGATTATCGCGAGGTCGTATATCAGCTGTTTCTCTTTTACAAGAGCAAGAAGGAAAGACTCACACTAGCGTTCTTTATCGATTTCCCGAAGTTGAGCGAAGTGCCGAGCTCACGTACACGTGGCTCGTGCGATAGCATATGCCTGCTATCCCCACCACTACGTTAGACGCTAAGGAAGTTCGTCGTCACTATTGTCGATTTCGATGCACTCAATTATGCCCGATCTGGCCACATTGGTCTGGCGGTCATTCTATTGTAAATACGTTAGTATGCATATACACTCAGTATTTAAAGCGCTTCTTATACAAAAGAAGTGACATAATCTATTGTGTGGAATCGATTATTATTCGATCGTGTAATATTCCATTTGTAATCGTTAAATTACTTTTCCTGGTGGTTAAGAAGTACACACGGCATTAACGGTCATTCTGAAAACGTATGTTAGCACGTTTCGTATTGTATCCATTTTCTTTTCTTTTTACGCGGTAATTTCAAAAGATCATTTTTTCGCGCCGATGTCACTTATTTATGACGATAATCTTATCTACAAAAAATGTCGATAATTTTCTATTCGATGTTGTAATTTAATGAAAAGTAACGTTTATAAGCCACGATGAAGTACCGATGTTAATGTTCTATGTTATGATTTATAGAATATATTCCTGCTATTGAGAAATAATTTATATTTTTAAATACTACTTAAATATAATATATCAGTACCGCGTGTAACGGCTAGTTTAGGGAAAATTCAGTATTTATAAGTTCATTACATGACATTTACTTTCCTAATAAAGACGAAAAGGAGAAAAATTTCCGTGGAAAAAATTTAGAGCATAGTATTTCTTTGGTTTTATTTTCAGTACTTGAGGAAACAAAACTAGATTTAAATAAAGGTATTGGTACGGCTTCTTGCCCTCATTCGTAATTTCCGTATTCCTGTATCTTTAAACACGCATACATAAATATGCAGCGTACTACTTTATAGTTTACTATCAGGGGTTTACAGTTTTGTTATTCGGCCCTGAATGTAAGTTGAATCGCATTCAGTGTGCGGAATATCTGCCATCCATGATACGTGCTGTGACGGGCGTCTGCTGGGTCAGCTGTTAAATAATATGTAACACTAATTTAAAACGTCAAATTTTTTTATCATATTTTGAGAATACTGGTGTTTCATAAATCGTGTTCTAAAATAAGTTCTAAAAAATCTATCGAACTCTATGGGTTTAACAACACTTCTAACGGAACTTTTCGCTTTTTCGTTATATCCTATTACTTGTCGACGTAGTAGTAGTTGTGCGTAACGAAATTAGGGCGTGAAAAGGTTCGTTTAGTTAAATTGGATATTTATAAAATTTGAAAATAATACATATGACAATACATGGTACACATGACAGCAATCTATCGAAAGCCGGGTCAACAAGTTACTTAGTTTTGCACGTTCGTTCTATCATTAAATTATTATCACGATGCAGGTATTGTATTTGAGATTTGCACTGTTATGTTACATTTTGTTTTGTGTATTATTCTTTTTTTAACTTTAGACAATATTTTGTGACATGTTAATAGTTTGCACAGGGTAAACATATGTCTACGATATTTCATTAAACAATTACGTATAATATCACTAATCGTAACTTGTCTGCAAAAGAATGTAACCATGATAATAAGCACAGAGCTATACTAATGCCAGTTGTTATTAACGTTGAAATAACGTAGGAAACCTAGGTAAATCTTTATTACTTTATGTGTAGGTTATTAACTTTAATATATAGAATAACGAGCCTAAGAGTAATTCAAATAAAAGTAATATCTTTAAAACTAATTTAAATAATACTGTCCATGATTTAGATCTATTTTATTTTATGAAATGATTTCGTTATATTACGTTTATTGCAACATTCAAAATTTTTATATGGTACTTGTGCGACCAAAATGTTGCATGCATAATATATTTGGCACTGATAAGATAAACTAATTATATATTTTATTTAACAGGATTTATATGGATCAGACATTGACACAATAGAAAATGTCTAGAAAGCGTGCTAGAGAAGAAACTATGTTGAATTCTACATCGTATTCAAATGTTCAAAACGGACAGGATGCATCTTGCTCTACAAAAGAATCGCCGATTTATCCTGTAAGTTTTATTGTACGTTTAAAGTTTATTTTTATTTTTATTTGTTATTTAACGATACGTTAATATTATGTAGCATTATAATTTAATGGTTTGCACAAAGCATTTTGATTATAATTTAAAGGTATTTGCAAAATAAAAAATATAATTTAGTCTTTAATAAGTATTTGCTATTTATTTGATATTTTGTTTGAAATAATATAAATATACCTGTTATTACATTTAATATTTAAATACGTTAGTAATTTACACAATAACATGTTAATTTTATGAATCTATCGCACCAAACAATTAAAGTTTACATACAGATCGTAAGGTCAAAAACTGATCTGTAATCATTTAGAGATTATGTGACTATAATGTCATAACCAATATGTGGAAAGTAGTTTTAATGATACTGGTAGAACATGATGTAAGATCATCGGCATATCTACATTGATATAATACTACAGATACTTTGTTCTTTAAATAGTCTTGTTGGAATATTTTAGAGTAGTTACATTAATATAAGGTCCGAAGTATATTGCGCTCTGTGATGTAACTGGAGTAAAAAATATTTAAGAGTGGACAATTTTATTGAAAGAAAAATAGTTTTAGATTGTGAAAGAAAGTTTATTGAGATTTGATACAGCAAAAGTTTGTCATGCAAAACAGTCAGCATTGTTTATAAAATACATTCTTTAATAACGTTAACAGTTGGTGACAATGACTTGGGGGACCAACAGGACTTCAAATAATAGCTCAGGTCAAGTTTCACTGAAAAAATATAGTAGTGAAATTTCTGTTTTCCACAAAGAACTTCCAGTGAGTTTTAATCATTTTAATTCTATTAAATGTAATGTACAATTAAATTTAAATTATTTTATTTTAATATTAAAAGTAGACTAAAATATTCTACTTGTGTTGTATTTGAAATGCAGACAACTGGAGATGTATAAATTAATCATTGTTCTTTTTTTAAACAAATTGTTATCATATAATCCAGTTAGGACTACTTAAAAATAGGGACAATGTTTCTAAACAAATGCTTATACTTATTAATTTTTTACAGTTATAATTTGTATTTGCATAACCTTATATATTCAAAATTGTAATCTTTATTATTCTATTTTTATTTTTATTAATTCATTTCAGTCGATTTGTAAAGAAGCTCCCTTTAGTGATGATCCTGAAGCATTTGCTGAAAGGAATGCGTGTGATTACAGTGTTCGTATCACATTAAAAGTGGCAAAAAGTGGCAAAGGTAAGTTTGAATGAAAGTCGATACAATATCTTTATGTTAAATAAAAATACAAAATTATAAAATTTTATGTAAAATATTGAGAAGCAATATAATGTTTATTTAGCTTCTAGGAAAGTCAGAGTATACGCAGATGGTATTTATGATCTCTTTCATCAAGGACATGCACGGCAACTCTTACAAGCAAAAAATATTTTCCCTAATGTATACCTGATTGTCGGAGGTACAAAGAATGAATATTAATATTTTTGCATGTAGTAAATTAAAAATTATGTAATATTAAAAAAAATAATACTATATATAACATTGCAGTTTGTAATGATGAATTAACACACAGTAAGAAAGGAAGAACTGTCATGACAGACATCGAAAGGTATGATGCAGTAAGACATTGTCGATATGTAGATGAAGTGGTTAGAGATGCGCCTTGGGAATTGAATGATGAATTTCTTATAAAACATAAGGTAAAATTAACTATATAATTATTATTTTTGAATATACGTTTATGGATTTTGATCAGGTTAATACTTTTTTTTATAGATTGACTTTGTAGCGCACGATGACATACCCTATATGACAGATGATAGCACAGACGTTTATGCTTTACTAAAAGCTAAGGGTATGTTTGTTGCCACACAGAGAACAGAAGGAGTATCTACATCAGATATTGTAGCCAGAATAGTGAAAGATTATGATATTTATGTAAGGAGAAATCTTGCACGAGGTTATAGTGCCAAAGAACTTAATGTTTCATTTCTCAGTGTAAGTTCACGTTACATAAACGTAATATATAATTATAACACTTCCTGTAAAATAATACTTAATTGTAGGAAAAGAAATTCCGGTTACAAAATAAATTCGACGATTTAAAAGATAAAGGTAAACGTGTTATGGAGAACATAGGTGAAAAACGTATGGATATGATCAGCAAATGGGAAGAAAAGTCTCGAGATTTTATCGATGCCTTTCTGCTACTGTTTGGCAGAGAGGGCAGATTGGTGGGTAGTATTTATAGGGGAAATGGTGGTGGTAGTTTTTTTCTTTTAATTATTTTTATTCAATGTTGCATCACGAAATATGCATTAAAATACAAAATTAACATTATAACATTTAACTGATAGTTAGTTGCTCTTTTCAATCTGAATTAGTAATTGTCAGACTTTTTTTTAATGAAATAGATTTAGAATTATAAATAATTATTCACAATAAGAAGCTTAAAATTATGATTCTTTATTTATAGATGAAAATATGTTACAACATTATAGTATTATATTGTATATTTATTATGACAGTTGGAAAAGGATATAAATTTCTTCTTTTTTGTATTCACAGTCGACAATTTGGAATGAGAGTAAAGGACGATTGATGCAAGCACTATCTCCTCCTGCAAGTCCAAACAGAGATGGCAGCCCAAATGGCAGTAATAGCAGCAATAATGATGAAGATCAGATAAGGTACATCAATGAATTTTACATTCTGTACTGCTTCTATATGAAAACCTTTAATACCTCACACCGTCCATTTGCAGCATGTTATGTTAGTATATAATTCCCAAGTTGTTAAATTCGTTAGATTAATTTTAAGCGTTGGTATACAATTTATTCGATGCGTAAATATAAATATTGTAATAATGTATAGGGTGGCTGGGGAAGCGTAGCACAACCGAGTAGAGAATAATTCTATGTAAAAAAAAATACGAAAAAAATGTGGTATACAATTTTTTCATTCAAGGCTTTGTTTTCGAAAAAATTGAATTTGAAATTTGCTTTACTACGCGATGCGACTTATTTATCGTCTATTCTATTATCGACTGTCTCTATCCGTGTTAGTATTTACAAACATAAATAATGATAAGATACTGTTAGGAAATACCCATATAGTTTCATCAGACTGTGTAACAGTCCATTTTGGTTTGTTCATTGCAAATTATCAAGTTATGGCAAGGTATTTTAATCAAGAGTGTGTTGACATGTTATTCACTTTGGAAGTTTGCGAAGGTAAAACTAAAAAATGATAATCCGTTCAGTTATCTTTAATTCATCCTGCACAGTTATGTATACAGCAACGAGAAAGACATTACCAACAGTACTTATAAAGTAATAAACTTTAAATTTGATTTTCTCAAAAACAAAGGCTTTGATAAAAAAAATTAAATACTAAATTTTTCTCCTATTTTTTTTTACGTAAAATTACCTCCTAGCCGATTGTATTACGATTTTCCACCCGCCCCGTATATTGTTTACATTATACATACAGAGTGTTCCCGAATAACATGTACAAACGGGCGAGAGGTGATTCCTTATGGAAGAATAAGAGAAACAAAAACAATAAAATTTTATTCTTTTTATTTTTCTTATTTTTCCATAAGGAATCACCTCCTGCTTGCCTATAGTATATGTTATTCGAGAACATCCTGTATATACAGAGTGAGTCACGTAATTTATTCGCCTCGAGAACTCCTAAAGTATGCATTCTACAAAAAATTATACGGTAATGAAGAGAACTTGTGTTGCTCAAACAGTTTTTTTTAACCTGTCCGTGTACGAGATGGTAAGGTGACTTGGTTGGATAAGTTATTTTTAAAAACCGTTTGAACATTGTATGGTGATCTGTTCGATATTGTATAATTTTGATATAAAAACATTTTTTGTAAAACGCATACTTTAGGAATCATTTGGGGTGGCCAAGTTATGTAATTCACCCTGCATACATATACACATATGTACACGGAAGTATGCATTACAAATAATTTAAGTGGTGATTTTACATGCCAAAATAAGACGAAAATCAAGAATGACGAAATTGTATATGTGGCTTTTTTACTTTCCAAATGATAAAAATGGTGTCATAATCAAGACAAATTTTGAAACAATAATTTTCCTATGATGACTGAGAAGATACTGAAATTAGATTTTCAAAGAATTTTAACTTTGTTTTACAGATTAGCAATGAAGTTATTATTCATTTAGGGAATTCTTTCATGAAATGAAAGAAAATTTTTTTGGTATTTTGTAGGGCAAGAGCAAGATTGTTTGAAAACAATGTCAAAAATTTTTCAATTTTCTTTTAAAAAAATATGTGAGACTGAAAATTAAAATATGCCTCGTACATAAGTATCTGGCTGCCACTGCATGTGTGTGTATTTTGTAATACATTAGCGTCTGAATGTCTGATTGGATTTTAATAAAACTTTATATTTAAAATATATATTCTCATTTCAAGATGTGGTTTAACTGAGAATAAAATTAGTCCATGAATAATGTGATACTTTTCGTAGTTTTTAGGATTGCCTATATTTAACAAAATTTTTTTAATAAATTTTAAAGAGAATTAAATTTTACATAGAGAAATTGAATAAACTTTTTTCTCTATCTTTTCCAATAAACGAAATATCAGTTTCTCGTGTATTTTTAGTCATTAACAACTGTCGCATAGTCTTAACCACAATTTCGTTACTCTAAAAGAATTGCCATTAGTAGCTGAAGTATGTACAGGGTGTTTCATAACATGTATCTATCGTCCTTCCACGAGAATTAGGCACAGCATGTTTACATCCCCATTCTTGCTGCAGTCCGCTGATTGGCTGTCAACGATCTTCGTCACCGTTTTCGACCAATACCTGTAAGTCAGCGGACTGCAACAGGAGTGGGGATGTAAACACACTGGGCCTTCTTCTCGTGGAAGAATGGTACCTTAGCGATGGATAAGGGACATAAAAACAATGAAAAATGTTCATATAAACCTATACCTTATGTGATCTTGTTCCCAAATTATAAACATATTTGTAACCACTAATTAAGCTAATATTACTGATTCTACTAAATTGTTTGAATATAATGTTCGATAATTTTTTGTTTCTCTTAATGAAAAATTAGCAGATCAGTGTTATGTCAATTTCTTCAGTTATTCGAAGATATTCCTTTAGATATTGTATGTCGTATATGGTTTATGCATGACGATGCACTGCCACATTTCAGTTGAGCGACGAGACAGTTCTTGAACGAACGATTTTCTAATAGATGGATAGATCGTGGAGGACCTATTACTTGACCTACTTGGGCACCAAATTTAAACCCACTAGATTTTTATTTTTGAGAATTTGAGAAAATACCTGAAATAGTACAAAATTCTATGGCAGGATGACTGCAGATTTGCATTTGGATCGAAGGTAACCATTATGAGCACTACCTATAAAAGTAAGCAGCTATACATTACTGCAGCGCAAGAATAATTTGAAATTAAGGTTAAATAGAACACATGTTTATATGAACTTTTTTCATTGTTTTTTTTTTTTTTATGTCTCTGGCCCGCCATTGAAGTAGGTGCCACATATTATGAAACACCCTGTACACATATATATACCAGGGTGTTTCTTATTTTATAATCTCGAAAATGTTTTAGAGAAATCCGTCAGAAAAGGCGCAATGTATAAATAAATAACTTTTCATTCATTAATGCAGAATACTGTGTTACGCACATATTTTCAAGCTGCGTAGAATACTTACGTATAACTTTCTAATAAAATGTTTACAAACAAACTTTATATAACATTTTTTTCTTAGTTTCATCTGTAAATTGTGCTCCCATAGTTTGGCTTGAAAAAATGGAGATACCCTGTATATAAGGTGTTTACCTATTGGTTGTAAATATTTTAAGAGATGATTTCACAAGCTAAAGTAAAACGAAAATCAAGAACGATGAAATTGCATTCGAGACTTCTTCATTTTTTGATTTAAAAAGCAAGTATCATAATCAAACAAATTTTTAGAAAACTGCACATAAGATTTCCAAATCACGTTTTAAGTGTTAAAACAGTAAAAAAGAAAATAGTTAAAGAAATCTTAGCTTTTTTGTATTGTTATCAGAAGTTAATACTTCTAACACAAAGCCTCAAACGTAATTTCTTTATTTTTGTCTTATTTTGATCTTTAGAATCACCCTAAAATATTTATTTACCAGTGGTAAAGAAATACCCAGTATATATAAACGGCAATACCGAAACTTATGGTTTGTTCTTCTTCCTAAAGATAAAAAAAAGGTCATATAAACATACATCTGGAAACTCTTCCTTTCTGATATATAAACACATCTTGTTTACATCAAAATTTTTCATGAATAGCTATCACGCGTAGAATTACTAGCACTGTCGACAATTTTTTTCTGTTAGGAGTTAATAATATTGTAGAAGCATGCCATTTCGACATTGACGATAGTATATATCGTAATAAATGAGTCTGTGTTTAAACGTTTCATAGGTAAGGCAGTGTTATCAGGATGGCTTATTCTAATATCGAGTGAGCAGATATTCATTTCATGTTTGGACGAGCTAACGGGAACACCGCAGAAGCTCGACATTTCTATCGAGAGACCTTTCCTCGGAGATGGAGAACGTCTTCGACAGTCTAGAATGTCGCTATCAGACGTGTATTGTTGCAAAAAACATCATTTTCAGTTATTTCTTTAAATAAATTTTAAGCATTCTTAAAATACTCTATCATAAACAAAACGGGTTTATATCTCAGAAAGAAAAAGTTGTCTGCCTTATGTTTATATGACCTTTTTTTTTATCTTTAAGTAGAGTAGAATATGATACCAACGTGGAATTATCTGTTTCGGTATCACACTGTATATAGGTTTATTTGATCCCTTTTAGACGTAACTTTCCCCTAGATGCACACCCCTATTCGTTTCTACCGTTCGCTTGCCTTTTGCCTTTACATCATACTGTGCCTTGGCCATTCATGTTTTTAACCTAAATGTCGCTCGCTTGTCTTTTCCCTTATGTCTCTTATTATTAACCTAAAAGTTGCTTATCACATTGACGCCTTCATAAACCAGTAAGCTCTTGCTATGTATCTTTTCTCTCCTTTACTTTCTTATTTCTTGCTCTTTTCTATCTCGTCCATTCATTCCACCTTTCTCTTCATCTCCATTCGGATTTCTTTGCATTTTAACGTTCTCTCTGTAATTTCTCTTTCTTTTTTATTTCCAACTTCTTATGCATTTCTCTAACTCTTACTTTGTCTTTATGTCTTCACCATTTATCTTTGTCATTCTTCTTTTCCCATCCTCATCTTGTTCTTGTTTCGGAATCTTTTACCTTGTTTCCATTTTTTTAATTTCCCTCTTTATTGTATCTATCTCCCTCAATTTTTTCTCTAACTTATATATTTTACCATCTTGTTCCTCCTGATTTTTTTTCAGTTTCCTTTTCCTCCTCTTTCTCACAATCGTCTCACTACTCTCTGTATCTACCTTGTTTCCTTTCCTTCCTGTGCATTTCTTTCATTATTGTATTTTTGTTTTTACTTTTTTTCACCTTTTCCTTCCTTTGTTACTATTTAATTTACTCTATACAGGTTGAGTTACAAGATACAAGACACCTGAACATCACTATTAAGAATAAAGATAGGAAAAAATGTTAGAGGAAAACATTACTTGTTTCAACAGTGCAAATATTATAAGCAACTAAATTTTTGAAGATCATATTTTTTGAAATTTCAAGATCATCAGTATTTCTTTAAACGGGATTACGTATTGCTATCTTCGTGGCGTAATAAGTGAGGTCAAGACAAATACAGTAATATATGATAATATGATATTCAAACAACCTTAATACGTCGCTATCACATGACGCATATTTGTGACGCGGCAATTTTTGTGAGAAACCAACGTTACATACGTGCGACAGCAGTGATGGTCGATTTTACATGTCCATAAATAAATGGTATGTAAACTGTCGACCATTGCCACGTTACGTGGAATATTACAATATCTTGATTCTGAATATTCAATTGGCCTATTAAATATGTTTTATTTTTTTTAAATATGATAATTCGTCTGCCACTTATTCAAATACTTCAGATATGATTCTTTCAAATAAGACGATGATTCAACAGTTTTTTTTAAAGAAAATATTATTTAATATTTGTATTGCATTTTATGATACGAAGAAATATCAAAGAAAGTGTTTGGTTTAAAGAGGTACATGTCATCATTGTTTTTTTAAACGAGCTTACATATTTTTATTGTTAGTGCTATAATAGTGGATCAATACAAATACAATTGTGTACAATAGTGTATGACAAATTAACTGATGTTGATGAAATATATTACCATGTATAATACATGTATAATACATGGTAATATATTACAACGATGATAAAAATACGTACGTATTTAAGGAAATATCGATATCCTTGAAATTTTGAAAAATAAGACCTTGAGAAAAACGTTTTGTTCATCATGTTTGACTCTTACAAAAGAATATTTTCCTCTGACATTTTCTGCTATCTTCAATCCTAACAGAGATAATTAGGTGTCCTGCTTTTCGTTACTTATTTTTTACAATTATGGTTCTTAACTTTTTTTTTTGTACAGACTCCTTTTGGCAATCTAATGGTGTTCGTGGATCCTTTCTATGCAATGTTTCTCAGAGTAACATTTTTAAATATGAATTAAATCAATGTTTTTAAATTAGTATTGAAAATCCTGATTTGCTCAAATCGAAGTCACCAAACAGGATGAAAAGTTGCACAAATCTTTTTACAAATTGAGGATAATTTATATTAGACTGGAAAGGATTGTGAATCAACGTTCAATTTTAACGTCATTAGGATAAAAATAATTGTTAAAAGAGTTCTGTAGTGTTCTAGGTGTTCGTAAAATTCATTTTTTAAAAATATCAGAAAATTTTGGATCTTAATTTTGTCTTATCAGCTTCTACATTTTTCTTTTATATCAGCAGCTTAGCTAAAGAAGCTTGTAAGTTCTCTATACAAAACATTGTGGTGAGTCTTGGGCATTGAATCGAATGATTTATTTTAACCTAATAGTTATCAGAATTTCGAAGCATTAGAAAGATAAAATTTATATTTTTAGATATAATGTATGCAAATTCACAGATCTTCAGAAATTTAGATTAAGAACCACTGCTTTACAGTGAATATGGCATGGGCCAATCATTGCAATGCATTGTGATTCATATGTGTGTTGTCAAATGAACTGGGATTTTCGTGTATATGTATCGAAAACAGCATCAGTGAAATGCTTTGTTTGAATGAAAATGCATGGAGTATAAATCCTTGTTTTGTTTTCTCTAAAAGTTATACAGGGTGTTCGTTTTATCTGGAAATCTGGAATATCTCATAAACAATTAAAGATATTCAAAAAATGTTTTAGTCAAAGTTGCATGGTATGAAGGGAGACATAATGCAACAGAAACAGTTTTCTCTCAACATCAAGTTAGTTTCTTTAAATGAAATGCTGTATTTTTATATATATGTATACATAGCTTTATAGTACAAGTTAATACGAATTCAATGAGCTGCTATCGAAGTTATATCGATAGCAGCTCTGCATGTTTGTAAACATTTAATTTAATTTAATACTGTTTCTGTCACATTTATGCCATTTTTTATAGCAAACAACTTTTATTAAATCATTTTTTTAATATCTTTCATTGTTCATGTAATATACCGGATTTCCAGATAAAACAGGCAGAAAAACCACATGCGCTGCCTGTACGATGATTAAAGTATCATTCTTCCTCGAGAAGAAGGCCCAGTGTGTTTACATCCCCACTCCTGTTGCAGTCCGCTGACTCACAGGTATTGGTCGAAAACAGTGACGAAGATCGGTGACAGCAAATCCAACGGACTGCAGCAAGAGTGGGAATGTAAATACGCTGTGCCTAATTCTCGTGGAAGGACGATATGTATTACGAGCTACTAGAGATTCTGGATCCTGAGCAGTTTTTCAAAGCTTCCTTTCTTCTTGTTTGAGACGCCATAGTGTATAATTTTGCAATTTTTTGTTGCACAGTCTCAGATTTAAAAAAGAAGTACTTAGTGTACTAATTCAACAGCATTTCAATTTATTTCAGTTCGCAAATAATTATTAATTTGACTCATGTCCAAATATTCATTGTAAATGGTGCATTTAATGAATCGTATCAAGTTTGACATGTTTATTTTTTTAAGAAACATGCATATTTGTATAGATACAACATTGCAGTTTTTCAAGAATGTGAAAATAGCAAAGTAGAGAATAAATATATTCTAGATAACAACTTGGTTAGTAATTGTCTAGAAAAATATTTGCTTTTTCAATGAATAAGCAGTTGCTTGACATTTTCATCTAGTTCTCTCCGGATAAAGACCGGGTAAGAGGCATATGTGAAATGTACTACTTTAATCGCTGTTCAGGTGGCGCATGTGGTTTATTCTAAAAAATGGCAGCTACCGCATCGCCATAATTTTCCTTTGTGTTGGGACTTCGAATTTTATTGTGTGTTGCAACACAGATTTGAAGTGATTCGATTATGATTAGACGTTAAGAAATTCTTGATTCTCTTGGAAATTTTGTAAATCTTAATCATTTTGAAAGTCTTGAAAGTCTTGAAACTCTTGATTTTTTTGAGAGTGTAGGAAATCTTGAGAATTTCGACAAGTGTAAGTTTCGAGTGTTGAATTAATGAATGTTTAATATTTCACGTACATATGTAATAATTAAAAATAAGGGGGTACCCAATACTTCGGGTTTGGGTCCCGAAAGTTTGTGATACTCGGATACTCGACATCGAAGTTGGGTTAGGTCGTGCCGGGAACCCGAAAAACTATAACATTTGAGTACCCGTCACTACATCAATTTCGCTGTAATAGAAAAAACTTCGTTTCCGAACTAATATGCACTCACTTAATGTATGTAATAATAATAGATTTTTCATGTATTTTTGCATACTAATTTCAAAATTATTAAGAATTGTCTTAATTACTTCTGATTTTGATAGAAGAAATGAAGTACATAAAATAAGAAATTACGCTCGTGTCGACAAACTTAAAAATGTTTACGTTTTCCTTGATATTTTGTAGAAAGTGCATTTTCAACGACATATTACAGATCCCAATTTGTTTATTTATGAATTTGAATTTTTCAAAAACTGAGGGTGATAGAACAATTCTACTTACGGATTCGCATTTAGGGCAGGAAACTCTATAAGGATCATCCAATAGATATTGCAAAAAAAGAAAAAAAGTCATAATTTTTTGGTCAGTGTTATCGAAATTTTCAAAAATTAGTAAACTTTTAAGACGATCAAGGTTTTCAAGCTTTCAAAACTTCAAATCAAATTCGAAGTATTTTGATTTTTCCGCCATTTAATAAACTTGTATCGATTTGAAACATTTTAAATCCCATTATCTTCCTACGCTTATAAGACCCGTAGTCCATCCAGTATATAGAAATCAACAATTTATTCACTGTTTACTTAGCTATTTCTATACTATCTACATTTTTCCTATATTTATTATTTGTCACATTATACAGTGGCGGACATACACTTGTTAAGGTTGGATTCTGTTGTTAGTAATAAACCACAGAAAAGGTATAAATTAATTAGTACTACGTTTTCTGAATGACATACATATACATTTAAAAAATACATGATAACTATTAATTAACTTAAACTTTAAACAAGACAACAATAATTAGTTTTCCTTGCGTTTCGTCTTGCGGACATACAGGGTGTTCGACCACTCCTGTGAACAATTTCAATGGGAGATTCTAGAGGCCAAAATAAGACGAAAATCAAGAATATTAATTTGTTGATGGAGGCTTCGTTAAAAAGTTATTTACGTTTAAAGTTTCGTCCGTTCTGAATTTTTTTCTAGAAAGTGGGTAGGATTTCGGGGGTAGGTCTATTCACCAAAAATGATTGTAATTGACCACCGTAACAGAAAATAATTTTTTTAGAACGATTTGAAAAATTTTCTTTTTGCCAAAATATTTCAGCACCTACCCGAATTTTTTTCTCGAAAGTGGGTAGAATTTCAGGGATATGTCTATTCACCAAAAATGCTTATAATTGACCTCTGCAACCAAAAATAATTTTCCCAGAACTATTTAAAATTTTTTAATTTAATTTGTTAATAACTTTTTAATGAAGCCTCAGTCAAGAAATTGATATTCTTGATTTGCGTCTTATTTTGGCCTCTAGAATTTCCCATTAAAATTTTTCCCAGGGGTGGCCGAACACCCTGTATACTTACGAACAATATACTATTATCGATGTCATAATATTGTTTTTAATAGTAAAATTAAATTAAATATTGCGTTAACTCATATTAATTCCAGTATTTTGTTGTTTTGCCATTTGCTTTAATGACTGCTACATAGATTGCATTAAACGAATGCATCGATCAATGGGAATCGAATTCCTTGGAGCTTCTATTACTTCGTATAATTCTTTAATATTTTTTCGCTTTTTATGTCTTATTTCCCTATCAACGTCGATCCAAAGCATCTCAATTGGATTTAAATCCGGACTTTGTGCCGGCCATTTTAAAACATTAATTTTTTCCTCATCCAAAAATTGTTTTACAATTTTTACCGTACGCTTTTGAATCATTATCAGCCTGATAAATTAAATCTGCTGGTTATTTGTGGTCAGCAAATGGTAATAAAGTGTTCTTAACAATGTTTAAATAAACAAAACGATCCATCGTTCCTTCGATACGACAGATAGGACCTGTACCATTAATGGTCATACAACCCCAAACAAATACGGA